GAGTAAAATTTATTTTGTAGTGAAAAATTAGCTGCCTGCTCATTGGATGTGTTTCAATGATTTTTTATCCGCATTTTAAATTATCACATTAAAAAAGGTCGATTGAACACGGCAAAATTTGAAAATACGCCAATTTCATACAAGGTTTTTACACTCACTTGAGGCGGTTTTCACCTTTCTCAAAAAAAAAAAAAAAAAAAAAAGAGTTAAAGCACTAAATGGGAGATGGAAACGCTTTTAGTTCTGACGTGGCAAACATTTACCTCACGACTGATCAGTCAATAAACTTAATTGTTTATAAAGATATGGGAAGTTAAGCGTGTTTGTGTTTTTTCCCCTTCCATTCTGTTTTAATACCAGATCAGTGTATTTTGAGGAGTTTCTCCACCATTAACTCTGCTAACTGGGAGCTACCTTTTGCCTTAATGAGTTTCATAAATATGGTGTGAGACTCTGTAATTACCTGGTAATTCTTGATGTTTGCCAAGATCTTCTTAACTTCTGGTGTGACGTCAGCCACGAAGCCATCCACTCTCTCTGGATTGTCCTCTTGCAGCTTGGCCTTAATGCTGGACATGCAAACAGACACAACTTTGTCATATGATCAAATCCTCTCCACCCCATATTTAAAATCTGAACATCTCTTCCTTGGTGCATTGAACCTTTGGCACGCATACTCACGCCTTCACGTATTCTTTCATGTAAGTCATGTACTGCTTCTTGTCGAAGGCCGTCTCCTGCAGTTTGTGGTTGAGGACGATGTCTACGCCAGAGATGGAGGCAGAGTCTGTGCCCTCAGACACTTCCTCTGCTGAGGCGTTGGCAGAAATTAAAGAATCATCAAACCCTTCTGTCCTGGTGACGGTCTAGACACATTAAGCAAGGGAGCACAGAGGACAGACATGAGGCAGACAGAACATTAATTTATGGTGGATCACAGTGAAAACAGGGTAATGCAGCTGGTGGGCGGGCGAGGATAGATGTACGCTGGAACATCAGAGTTTTGGATCAACAGTGGAGGGTTAAGCTTTACTTCATTTGTTAAAATAAGCAAAAACTTGCTGGTAGACTCACACTGAAGAACTAAATCTGACTTTTGTGGTTGAGGTCTGGTTGTGGCTCCGGGTAGTTAACTTCAGTTATCATGAGTCATTCTTGTGTGTGTGCGCGTGAGGGTTACAGACCCACTAAATCATCCTGACTGCAGTGACATCATGTGAAGACACTTAAATGACTACAGGCATAGTCAGATGCAAAACAAGCACTGATCATGACCGATACCTGAATCTCAGGTGAGGGACAATGGATGGTGAATTGTCTATCAAGAGTAACAAGTTAAATATGTTCCCTCACAGGTCTGCTTGTTGCAACACCTTCCCCCGGTCTCTTGTGTGTTAATAATGCAAGTAAATACAAGACAATAGTGATGGTCTTTTAATCGTGTCCCGTGAATATTGGGCTGTTTTCAGAGGGCAGGATGCTTTAAAATAAAGTGTATGAAACCATGAAAGTTGGCTACATTTTTATTCAGTTATATCTGACTTTTTAGTCCCATATGCAACAGCATGTACCTCAAGATCCTCGGCAGAGTGCTTTTGTTTGTTCCAGAGTTTCAACTGAAAACTAAAGCGGACACAGTCAGGGCCCCGAGGCTCTGTAACAGCCAGCCCGAGGAAATCAGGGCGCGTTAACCAATGAAACACATTTTTGTAATAGGGCCTTTCCTGATTTTAGTTGATTTTATTTACTTCTCTTAACTGTATTTTAATTTCTTATTGCTTTCACTGTGTATCTTGTTATCTGCTTTATGTGGTTTACTGTCTTTGCTCTTCTGAAAGCACTTCGATCACAGGCTATACGTTTTTACTGAAGTGGGGTCCAGCAGATCCTCGTACAGGGTGAACTGGTAAAATGTCCTGTTCATTGTGTAGGCCAACCATGTGGAGAGAAAGACCTCCGGAGTCTGATCATGCTCACACATCTAGCTTGGTATTACTGACTCACCTTTCCTTCAACTTCATAGAAGATCCCGCTTGGATGCTCTTTGATTTTGAAGGCGTCTGAGAACATCTCATCATCTGCGGGAGAAAAAAAAAGTGTTATCACACTTACTGAACACAAAGCAAATCTCCGGGCTACCCTCTGGTTGCGACATAATCTACACCATATTTATAACTTACAATTATATACAGCTTATGTCTAGAGGGGCATCTTGATACCCGTGTTAGTGATTAAATAATAAGACGAAGAAGCCGCGCTGTGGTGCCAGATTCCCCAAGTAGCGATGCTAACGCTAACTCTAGAAAAATCTGCTAGTCAGACATAAATAAAACGGCAGCTAACTATAGCAGCTACGTGATGGCGAAAGGCCACGTACACCGCGTTACTTTATCATGACGAACATTAAGCTTAACGTTACATTTACATCCTGAAGTGTCTTATCACTTCACTAAAAGGGTTCCCGTCACTATTAGGCACACGGTAGGCACACTTTTCCACTTTTCGCCAACTTACCGGTAGTTGAGTAACGGTATAAAAGCTAACCGGCTAGCCAACGGGGTGGCTAACACTCGGTTAGCCTCGGGACGATGAAAACACGAGTTAGCTAGCTAACTAGCTAGTCTGGCAAACTCTCCCCAATAAAGCAACACCGCCAAAATAACGGCCGCGACTCTAATGCTGCCTCCCGGACATGAAAGAGTACACAGGACGTGGTTACTTACTGCAGATGATGCACCTGTAGATGATCATTTTTGCTGCTTCGGTGTTATTTCTTCCAGAGACAGAGTGTAGGCTTGCCGCCCGAACAGCACAGGGGAGGAAAAAGACCGATCGGGCCGCGAGGCGGTGTATTTACATCCTGCTGACGTCACCGCGGCGATGCGCTCTGCTGCCACTTTGACACGGCGGCCGAAAGAGGTACTACACCCACACCCACCCATCCATTACACTCAACTTACTTTCTCATCATTTTCAATTAGTACATGTAAAGTTTGACTTTGTTATTATATTTTATCATATCCTTCATTCCAATGGCGGTCAGATTCTCCAGCACAGCAATGACATGATGTAGCACCTATTTTATGTTTTATACCTGTACTGTCCTATTATACATATATTATATATATATATATATATATATGAACATGACAATGAGTTCACTGTACTGCAATGGCCTCCACAGTCACTAGATCTCAATCCAACAGAGCACCTTTGGGATGTGGAGGAACGCATTATGGATATGCAGCCTTCAAATCTGCAGCAAGTGCGTGATGCTATCATGACAACATGGACCAACACCTTGTTGAAAGAATGCCACAAAAAATTAAGGCAGTTCTGAAGGCAGTCCATCCCGGTCCTAGCAAGGTGTACCTAATGAAGGGCAGCCTTGAGAATATTGTCAAGCAAAGCTGATTCAAGAACTTGGGGGAGCTTCACACGGAGTGGACTGAGGCTGGAGTCAGTGCATCAAGAGCCACCAGGCACAGACGGGTACAGGAAATGAGCTCCAAATGTCACATTCCTAATGTCAAGCCACTCCTGAACCAGAGACAACGTTTGAACTGTCTTACCTGGGCTATGGAGAAGAAGAACTGGACCGCTGCTCAGTGGTCCAAAGTCCCCTATTCTGATGAAAGTAAATTTTGCATTTAATTTGGAAATCCAGGGCCCAGAGTCTGGAGGACGAGAGGAGAGACAGAATCAGAAGTTGCTTGAAGTCCAGTGTGAAGTTTCCACAGTCTGTGATGATTTGGGGTGACATGTCCTCTACTGGTGTTGGTCCACCGTGCTTTATCAAGTCCAGAGTCAATGCAATTCCACCTGCTGACAAGCTTTATGGAGATGCTGCTTTCCTTTTTCAAAAAGACTAGTAACTGGTTTGCTGACCATGGTATTACTGTGCTTGATTGGACTGCCAGCTCACCTGACCTAAGCAACCTGGGCTTCATAACACCTCAGCAGTGCCACAGGTTGATTGTCTCCATGCCACGCAGCATTTGATGCAGCAATTTGTGCAAAAGGAGCCCCGACCAAGTACTGAGTGCAATAATTAACCGCATTCTGTTTAACTTTTCAGAAGGTCGACATTTTGTGTTTTATACATTCTTTATTCTAATATTTTGAGATATGGATCATTGATTTCAATGATAATGTAAAAATCAAGATTAAAACAAGAAAGGCCTGAAAAATTTCACTTTCACTGACTCATGTAATGAATCTATGTGAAAGTTTCACTTTTTGACTTTACGGGAAAAAAAATTTCTTTCTCACGACATTCTAATTTTCCGAGATGCATCTAAAAAAGGTGTATATAGTGTACATACTACTCTTACTTTTCTACTTCTATTATATCTTGTACCTTTTCTATTCTATTTTTATTTAATCTGTATTTTCTTATCTGTTGTGTTGTATCTGGAGCTGCTGTAACAACTGAAATTCCCCTGTGTGGAATCAATAAAGTCCATGTTATCTATCTGTCTATGGTATTAACAACATCCACCTGAATGAATCAAATCAATCAACATGGTTCCAATTTATACTACTTTATGTTCTGAATATAAAATAAGTCATTTGAAAGGAAAAAAAAAATACTTTGTGGCTTCTAAAGTAAAACAAAATGCATGTCTGTAATTCACAGAACCACAACCGTAGCCAGCATTTTAGAAGTATTAAGGCCTAAATGCTAAAAACTCCATAATTTATTTATTTACTTTGTGGCTTGGAAGTACTAACAATACTGCAAGCTGCCTATACAATTCTGTAAGTAGTTAAAACTAGTGTAGAATTCAACATCAGGCTCTTAAAAGATAATATTACTCCTGCAAATGTGAGCAGCTCAATGAGGTTACAAGTAGACAATTAGACTGTATATTCTACATCAACGGTGACCGTGTATATTTGGTGAGAAGGCAGCTGGTATGTAGAAGTTCCTATAATAGTCTGAAGTACTATGGAAGAAAACAAAAGAAAAAGGAGAAAACATTTCACACAACCATCCATTACTTGTAAAGCAACTTTATTTCTCCTTTATCAGCATATTATTTTGGTACAAGAAGCACCGTTTCAACTCCGATATTCACAAACTATAACAGATGGCCTCTGTAAAATCCAAACCAGGTGTAAAGTCACGATCTAGCCACCCTCCGTCCACAGGGCAACACAGTGAGATGACTCGAGTTTATGTGGGCAAGTATGAAGTCCAATTATCTGCCTGCACACTGTGAAATCCAGTTACACAAAGAAAAATCACAGGGGGAGCCTGACAGTAAAAAGTACACAGACGCAGCGTTTGGAGAGAAGGCAGGGGCTGGTTACAAATAACAACCTCACCTTTCAATAATAGTTAAGACTTCTTCCAAATAAAAAAAAAAAAAAAAGAGGGGGGGGAATACATAAGTAAATTTACGAATAGGTGCCAGCACAGCGAAACTCTGCACATGCAAGACAAAACAAAAACACATTAAAAATGTAGTCCATGTACAATTATACACACAAAATAAACACATAAGAATTTAATCACAGGTGATGATAAAGATGCAAGTGCAACAGAGCAAAAGTTTGTTTGCCTCCTCCCATATACTACGGCAGGTTCCCCATTGTGACCGATATAAGGTAGCAAAAATAATCTCTAAATGTCAGGCTACTGGAGCCAAATTTCTATGATGAATCTTGATCAGTAGTCCTGTGATCAGTGTTTCAATTCTCAGATGCCTAATGACCATGGATTCAGTTTTAATCAGGAGGGTATGCACTGCACAGGGAACACATCATTATCCAAAGTCTTATTTTTAAACCCTAAATTCATAACCTAAACCAAGCTGTAACCTTGATCTTAACATTTAAAAAGCTACAGCTGTCCACAGTCTGTGATGACAAGCTTCTTTGTGGGCGTTCCTCCCTTCGTGCCCAGCTCTTCCATCTGCTGCACCACATCCATTCCGTCCCTAACAAAGCCGAAAGCCACGTGTTTGAAGTCCAGGTGTTCGGCTTTCTTCAGGGTGATGAAGAACTGCGAGTTGTTGGTGTCGCGCCCGCGATTGGCCATTGACAGAATGCCCGGGCCCGTGTGCCGAACGTCAAAGTTCTCATCCTCAAACTTGTTGCCGTAGATGGACTTGCCTCCTGAGCCATCACTGTTGGTGATGTCACCAGCCTTAAAGACCAATGGGGGACTTGTTAGTAGAGTTACAAAAGTAATATTGTACTTTATTAGTTGAATAATTATATTTTAACAACTTTAAAGCATGCATTCTGCAATATTTACATTAATATATGATATGGTCTATCTAGCTGTAGCACTGCTGTCTGAACATTGATGAAACACGAGAAGCCTGCACTTTGAACCTCAACAGATTTTGAAGACCAATGTTTCTTCATCCTCATTTTGATCTCGGCTCCATTCTGTATTGCTTAATAGTCCTGTGAGTTTTATTTAAATTTAAATGATCTTTTGATCTGTTCAAATTTACTACTACTACCACCACCGTCTGAAATAAATGCACAAACAGGACCTATAGCAACAATAAATGGAGAAATGTCAGAGCGAGGGGGACTGCGGCGCCACAAGCAGTTCAGTGGGGTTCAGGGGCTTGCTAAAGGCCTCCTTCGGCAGTGCCCAGGAGGTGAACTGGAACTCTCCAGCTACCAGTCCACCAGTCAACTCTGGTCCGAGCTGGACCCGAACCAGTTTCCAGACAAGTCCTCACGGACTGAGATGCTGCCACCCCTATTGTACTCCAGATGTTCCTAAAACGCAGCGTCTGTCTGACCCTTTGCTTGTCCCTGTTGCCCAATCAGTGAACAGGACTACTGTTCTCTTTACGCAAAATGAAAAATCTAGTGAGCTGTATGACGACACCAAACAATCTGAGAAGATTTGTGGATTCAACAGCACAGATGAGAAAAAAAAAAAAAAAACATGGACAAAAGTAACACTGTTTGCTGACTATGTAAAAGTGGAAATGCAGCAAATGAATGCAATCAATGTCTACCATGTCTTTTTAGATAGGCTGCGTGGATTCTGTTTAAATTCATTTTAACAAACTGAGTGTTAAGAGTTCGATTTTCTGAAAAAGTTACAGCCCTAGTGCTGAATGCCTGCATGGTCAATTAAACTACCCCTGAACCAGAGCTTGTATCTGAACTGTGTGTGAAACTTGATAACCTCCTCACCTGACACATGAAAGACGGTATGACCCTGTGGAAGATGGAGTCCCGAAACCCGAAGCCTTTCTCGCCGGTACAGAGAGCCCTGAAGTTTTCCGCTGTCTTGGGGACAATATGGTGGAAAAGCTCAATAGTGATGGTTCCCAGTGGTTGGCCGTCGGCTGCCACTTTGAGGAACACCTGTGGGTTAGTGTCTCTGGAGTGCTCTTGAACTCTGGACATCTGCGGCTCTGACTGGCCTATGCGGCTCTGACACTCGCAGAAGGTCTTCTTGAAGGATTCGGCTATCTCGGGGGTTTTGAACTTAGCCGCCAGCTGCTCCACCACACCCTCGCCGTCTGGAAAAAAAACAGGGAAAGACGAGAGACAGTCAGCAAGAGGTCAGCTGAAGACATTTCTATTGACTGTTATTAATTTTGGCATTACTGGCAATACAATTACCTTCTGTTGAATCTACAACTATGCAACACCACATATTTTGTAATCAGTGTAAAAGAAAGTAAGACAATAAGGTAATTGTTTAAAAAAAAAAGTTTAAAAAATGTGAGTTATCAGCGTACAATTATGTGATTTTAGACAAGAATTAACAGCAGTATGTAGGCTTGCACGTCTTGCATGACATCAACTGGCGCTCTAACAGGGTACCCCCAGGATTCTCAAAGTTAAATTTAAGACTTTTTAAAGACCTTTTTAATACCACCTAGGATGAAATTTAATACCAACTTCACTGCCGTATGAAGGAAAATCTTCCCCAAGAAGATTTTGAACATTCAATACTTAAATTTCCTGCATTATGGAAACATTTTCTGCACCAATTTAAGGTAGAATAGTCTATTTATATAAAAGTGGGACATAAAATTCAGGTGACAATTCAAACAGAATATAATGTAGTTATACATTAGCTTAAGTTACTTTTTTTTGGACAATGCACATTTGTTCTATATTTACATTGCATTGCATGTTCTCATTGTGTAAATACACCTTTCTCAAAGAATTTCATTTGTTGCAAGCCATTTTTCAGAACATATTTAATAAATGCTTTTAAAAGAAGTGATGGAAACAAGTCCCCAGCGTCCCGAGTGTAAATGAAACCTATGGGTGAAATGAATACTTTATTTGTCACATTAATAACTCTTATGGTGTGAAACCAAAAATAGAAAATAAATTGTGCAGTTTGAGTTCATACAATTAGTTACACCCTGGCTAGATAAGGTAATGTAATGCAACATAATATGCCAATGTAGATGCCAATTGCTTCAGTGATTATTCATCCTGTTCTGTTTTTGCATCTAAAGGCTGCTTGAAATATAGTATTGATTAGTACAGGCTTGAAAGCAGCAGGGACAAGAAGTTGGGCTCCGGTTTGTTTTTTCCCGGTGATCTGGGTGGTTTAAGTTTAAAGTGCGTTAGCATGTTGGATGTTTCCATTCACATAACGTTACCCTACAACAGTGGCGCAACGACACAACTGTCTCTCCGTTGCTGTTGTAATGTTAACTGACCAGTAACCTGCAGCGGGTCTTGATGCTCCGCTGTTCCATTAGCGCTCGCCATAGTGTGACTGACTTGCACTCCTGCCCGCTTGCTGCGCTAACCTCAGCGCCACTGCCTTCTATGCCCCAACTTGTCCGTATCTCTGGCCTTCTGAACCTCAGACACTTGCCCATTCTGAGTCGACCAACTAATGTTAGCTTGTTAGTAGCACTTCAGAGACGTTTTGTTTTCTTTCCTAAATAACCGATACGCCCCAGAGCTTAGATGGCAGAGCTTGTGCACCGCGATCACTCCACAGTCCAGAGCGCAAAGCGAAACACTGACGTAAACAGTACCATCACCAAATGGAGTAAATTATAAAGTCACACAGACAAAGTGTTTACTTATGATGTTACAGCATTTATTTAATCCTACGAAAGAAAAAATTTAAGACTTTTGTAAATGAAATTTAATACTTTAAAAAGGGTCTTAATTTTATAATATGAAATTTAAGACTTTAATACTTTGAAAACCTCACCGGTACCCTGTTTAAACATAGGAACCACAGGAAGTACGGCTGTGTGGTCCCTGCGAGATGCTTCTACTATAGCTAGCTAATTAACGCCAGACTGAAACTAACAATAGACACTTACAGAAACTGACTTCAAATCAACACTGTGTGTGTACCTGAGTAGTCGGTGGCAGTCCAGATCAATGCGTTGGGTGTGGTGTTCATGGGACGAAGTTCCATCGTCGTTGTGATGGTGTGGTTCGCACAAACCCTCAGCACCTGCTCTCTTCTCATCAGGATTCGGTAGAAATGTTTGGTTGGGTGGAAGAGGATCTTGAGGTCACCGATGCCACGCTCCTTCCACTGGCCGGGGTCCCGGTCCCATCGGAACAGCTTGGCGCGCTCCTTAAACAGGATTTCCTCGTCCTCCTCTCCAGACTTTGTCTCCACCTGAGAGACACACAATTGCGCAAGAATAAAATGTGGTCCTGTGTCTCATTCACTAAACTTCATGTGAGAAAATACCAAAACATTGGCGTTAGCAGTTGAAGATACCTCTGGTAGTGACACTATTGGCTCAAAGTGAATGTCCACATTATTAGTAGCATCCTCTTCATCACTGCCTTCCTCATCGCCGTTGTTTTTTGGCGCCGAGGTCGCTGCGGACCCAAATACCGTTGCTCCCGCGTTTGCCCATGAGAAGTTGTCTTCACATAAGGGAAAACAAATATGTAGCGACATGTAATTTTGTTGTGGCGAGGCATTGGTAACAAGTCAGACTGAACATGTCAACATTGAAGCAAACCTTGTTTTGCTCCAAATGCAAATCCGTCTGTCTTTTGGGCCAAGTCCGCAAAAGAGAAGCCTCCGAATGAGTGGAAGCCGAAGTTGGAAGAGTCTGCAGTAGGAGGGACAAAGTTATCATTAAATACTGAATTGAATGCAGTTTTCTTTTACTCCTCTCACTTTTGTATGCAGGATCCCTGCACACAGCAGGCTGGACACAACAGCAAACAACACTGTATAAAGTCATCTAACCATCTGCAGCTCTGCAATATACTCAACTTGAAGCTGAAGATGTTACTTGGTGGTAGCTAGTTTGAAATCACTTTATATGGTTAAAAACATTTTATTTATTAATTTCGTTTAGTGCAGCGGTTCCTCACCCAGCCCCCTCAAAAGATAAATCTGGGGGGTCGTGACATAACTAATTTGAAAGAACTGCACTTCTCTAATTTTACCTCTGCATTCAATAGCAGCGTTTAGAAAATCTAGCAAGGGAGACATTTCAAATGATATACAACCAAGGATCCTGTAAAACTGATAAAGTGAAAGTCACAGCTTCTTCAACTTAGAGGAGCCAAGAAGCAGCCTTAGGTCATTTATTTGCAATACTTAACCCACCACAAATTCCTAAACCTAAACTGTGGGAAAGCATCACCGCATCGTTGAGGCTTAAGCAGAACTACAGCTACACATATACTGTGCAGTTTTCACAATATGAGCAACAGTATGTGTTCCTCTTCTTAAACTTCTGTGCTACAACTTTCCTTTATATTATCCCATCAGTCAGCATTGTAGCATTCAGACAAACCTACTCAGGTAAGCAGGTGAACTGGTCAAGACACCAGTAAACCAGCATGTGTGTAACCAAAAGAGACAAAATCAGTATTTACTGAGGATGGTTGTTTAAATTTGTTTATAAAAGTTGGCAGGAACATTTTGACACCTGTCTTACATCAGTAGTAATGAACAGGAAGAGGTCTCTACCTTGACTAGCTGTTGTAGCAGTAGACGCCGCAGCTGCACTCCAAGTAGTGGACTCTGGCTCTGGGCTCTTCTTAGTTGACAGATCAATAGGAGAGCTGCTGCTAGGAGCTTCACTCTGAGTCTCTGCAGGCTGGTCTGAGGTCTGCTCCTCTGGAGTTGGTGTGCTGCCTGCAGCTTCTGTGGTGCTGGATGACGGGCCTGACGTCGGCTCTTCTGGGGCTTCAGCAGGGGGGCTGGAGGCCCTTTCAGCTTGGTTTAACTGGGAATCCTGAAACAATTTAGGAATTAAACTACAAAATACTGACAAAAACCAGCAACTGGTTAAACAAGCTCCAAATTAAACCAAATATTCTCACTGCTTTAGCCAAGAGAAGTAACCTACAATTAATGACATTGTTTCCTGTTTAGTATGATGTTCGATAATGCACTCTGAGTGTTCCTACATCAGAATTAGTGCTGGACAAGGAATTTTTTATCGTTATTAATCACATGATTTTCTTGCAGTGTTATATAAAATGTTACAAAAATTGGGCTATGAATAATATATGAACAAAGCCCTCTGTAAAAATCTCCTAGGTTAGTAGGTTACACAGTAGTAGGCTACTTTATATAGACACTATACGCTGGCATGCAAATTCAGTGCCCTTTCTGTGAGTGTTGTGTCAGTTACCAGGTCTTGCTGTGCTTTGCGAACTTCTGTCTCAAAGTCTTCAGGCTTGTCGTGGTCCGGATCGCTGTCTGTGGTGCTAATGCCGCAGAAGAAGGTGGGTGGCAGCTGGAGGCTTTTGGCCTTCTCCTCCTCCTCTGGCGTTGGCTTCTTCTCCCACACCACCTGGCAGTCGGGCTCTGAATGCAGTACACACAAGTTTAGGGTTAAGAGCATGACTGGCAGGTGGACGTGACTTTTAATCAAGTCCACATACTTTTTGCCATGGCGTGTGCAGTATACGTGGACAATATCCTCATTAATCTATCACAGCCCTAAAAATGTCTGCACAATCAATCGAACCAACATGATGCCTGACAAATGACAAAAATGAAGGCGAGAAACTGGATAAAATTGTGAGAGACAGGATGACATACCTTCACCACATGCTGCAGCCCTTTTCTCAGGAGGATCAAGGTAAAGCTTTCCATTCAGTGCTTTAACTGCTGACTCGTAGTCTTCATCTAAAAAACACATTAAATTACTTTTTGTTGATATCAAGAAAGATGTAGATTCTACAGTACCCACTTCACTCCCACAGATCTTGGACAATACCAGTGATTAACAATGTAAGTAGATTTGCTTCAGTAAAACACAGCACTGATAAAAGCACTGGAGCTTGTTCACCCCTCTAAATCATATTTTGTTTCATGAAACAGCTCAATTAATAAAAAATGACACCATCCATCGTCAACCGCTTATCCTGCGTACAGGCTCGCGGGGAAAATGACAACACCTTCTCTGTAATGAGTCATATTAGTCATTCTCGTTACCATGTTCACTTCAACAAAACACATTATTATACTTTGGTTTCAAATCTTTTGGTCTCACCATCCGTTTGATCGTCGCTGGTATAGCCTGGTTCGTTCTGGTAACAGAAAAAGGTGGGAGGCAGAAGAAGTTTCCTGGCTAATGCTGCCTGTTCAGCGGTGGGTTCCCTGACATACACAACCTCCACCTCAGAGTCCTCATCCGACCCTGCACCGCCTCCTTCTGCCTGAGGTGAGCCTGTGATGGACAGATGCGACAGAAGTAAAACAATACATAGTCAGGGTGGGAAGGAACTGCTTAGAAGAGAAGCCGAAATGAAGCTTCTTTATTCCCTTTACAACCACAGGTGTTAGTTCACACACACAAAAGTCATGCACAGCAAAAATGAATAGCATGCATTTCATTTACAAATGTATGAGACAAGTTGGATTAACACATTTCTGTATGCATGTCTCTGTGTGACTCCACCACTTACTGTTGGACACATGGTATTGTAGCATTAAATAGCATAAATACCTCAGCTAACTCTAATTAGCCTTTGCTGAGGTGCACATCACTGGCAGGAGCCAGACTAGAAGGGGAATTGCATTTCATACTGTTGCTACACATCCTGCACTAAAAATGGCACGTGTGACGTTCACACAACATTCCTCTCTGAGGAATCTTCTCAGCTCACCTTTCAAAAGGCTTTTACTGATGTGTCTCCTGTTGCTGTACAAAACTCTAGGTTTGATTCCGTCTATTGATTAATGAAATGCTAACTGGTCATTAATCATTTCCAAATTTATCTAGTTACTACACTACCACATTCCAATCTTAGAAACTTTACATTAGGGAAAGGGGAAATTTTAACTGTTTACATAGCAAAACCTTTAAGCCTGAACTGAATCACATTATGAGAACTTCTGATTGTGCTTCAATCTAAATTCAGGACTCACATAAGTTAGCATTTTACCTAGAACAAAAACAAAACTATTGAAAGAGCGCAAACTAACAGTTGGGGGGGGGGTTAATTTAGACAAGGGATCTCTGAACCACAATATTAAAATGAGAATTTCACCATGGCATACTTTTTATATAAAAAGATAAATGATCAAATTGAATCACTCAGCCATAATAAAAGGGCTGAGGATCTCTGATTGTAAAAATACAGATTTAAGTTTAGCCAGCTGTAAACCTATTCCTATAAATTGCCCTTAATGAAATAACCGCACACTAGTAACACCATCACGCTGATGAATTAGCTGATACACTTCCTCCTGATTGAGAAGATTATGACTATTATTACTAAATTTCTTTGTACAATAAAAAACTTCACCTCCACACACTGGACATGCAACATATTAGCATCAATGTTGTTTTCCACTCCGTGCATCCAGGTTATTTCTGTCTAGTAGTAAGGGCCAGCCAGGTGACAGCTGAGAAGTGTTAACACACACTGCAGTGATTAGAGTACCTGGGGGTTCAAATTGGGTGGTTGATGTGCTGGTCCAAAAGGCCATTGGATTATCTTTGAAAAGCCTAAAATCCAGTCCTAAAGGATGATGGGTTGTTGGGCGAAGAGAAACTAATTGTGAGGCTGGTATCATAAGTCAAAACAAGGCTAAAAGTGCTCAATGAAAACGTAAAATACTATACCAGTGTGTGCTGAATGAATTGTGTTTGAGATCTGAAGTTATGTTCAGCGTGTTCTCTAAAACCTCTTGTAGATGATTTACTGTATACAGTTTTACTAAAAAGGTACAGAGCATCTTCATATAATGAATAAGATGATAATGAAACAATTTATATAAAAAAGGGGCTACATGGGGAGGAGATGGGAACTCAGTGATTTTAATCCAATTCTGTGCTAGAATTTTTTGAAAGGGGTCTTGGCTGGATCAGCTAAGAAGATTATGGAGCAATGAGATGCAGATGAAACAAGACAATGGAGTGAAACTCAAATAAACAGAAACAGTTGTGATACTCAAATACAGAAATCATATTTTTCTTTACCTTTCTCTGGGATTTTGAATGCAGGTGCTGCAAGCGAAGCCTTGGCAGGACGTCCAGAATCTTTGGCTTTCAAGCCGGATGGTGAATCCTCAGCCTCAGAGTGAAATTTAGGGGAACCGAAGAACTTCTGAACGCTATCAGTCCCAAAGACAAACTTAGGGGGTGACACCACTGTCTTTGTGGGGTTGACTGGACTTGGAGACCCAGCTGCACATGGCTTATTGTCGGGGGAAAGCTCTGTGCGTTCCTTTGTGGTCTCTTCCAGAACAGCGATTGCTGCCTTCCCACACACAGTTGTAGCAGATGTCTCTGCAGATGCTGTGGCTCCACGGTCCTGAGGTGCGGCAACCCTGGATGTCACTGGAATCATGAGTTCCTCTTTTTCTTGTGCAACCTTGGCCTCTTCAAAGACCTGTTTGAATGTGTTTGCAGTGTCCTGCAGCTTGAATCTAACAGCCAACTGCTCAATATTTCCCTCTCCTACTTCAGCAAAGTCCAAGGCACTCCAGACCCAGGCCTTCTCTGCGCCCTTCATAGGTTCAAGCTTCATAGCTACTGTGATCCAGTGGTTGGCACAGATCTTAAGTACCTGGTCTCTCCTCATTATCAACCTCACTCGTTTGGTGTCATAATTCTGCAAGACCTTGAGGTCTCCAATACCCCTCTCCTTCCACTGAGCCAGTTCCTTATCGTAGCGATACAGTTTGGCCCTGTGACTGAAGACCACCTGTTCATTTTCCTCTCCTGTAGAAATCTCCACTAGATCAGGCAAGGGGACCACAGGTTCAAAGTACTGGCCATCCCTCTCCTCCTCCTGGGTTACATCCTGCTCGTCATCAGTACCCACTGAGGCTCTGCTCTGGTTAAGCTTAGCAGGAGACTTGGAGGGGCTGATGCCAGGTTGGAAGCTGAAGTTGAACCCACAAGTGGATTCCCCAAAGCGGAAAAGGTTCTTTCTCAGGGGGCTGCTGGCGAGGGGAGAGGCATAGACTGATGAGTCAGTAGTATCATCTAAAGCCTCTTCTCTTAGGTCGTAGTTATCCCACTCCAAGGTGGGGCCGGTGGTTTCGCCGTGAGGCTTGTTTACAAGGCTTGAAACATTGCTAGATGATGTAATTTCTACCTGGCTGTCGTCATCTTTGATCTTTGTTTTCTCATCTGTCAAGAAGGACTTCAGGTCTTTCAAACCAGACTTCATTTCCTCTGCTTTCTGAATGAGGCGTGCTGTTCTGCCTGTGTCAACAAGCTTGTGGGGTGTTTGTAGGGGGATGTCCAAGAGAAGTCTCTGACACTCTTCAAACTTCTCCTTAAACTCCCCAGCAAGCTCTGGGTTTTTGAACTTAGCAGCCAACTGTTCAGTTTTAGCATCGCCATCAGAGAAGTCATTGGCTAACCACATCCATGCTTTGTCTGAGCCTGACAAGGGCTTAAGATTCATGGTGGTGGTGATCCAGTGGTTGGCACACACCTTCAGGACTTGCTCTCTTCTCATCAGCACCCTTAGTCTGCCATTACTGTTGTTTTTCAGGAATTTAAGGATTCCTACACCACGCTCTTTCCACTGACCGGAGTTGGCGTCAAATCGGAACAGTTTCACACGCTGAGAATAAAGAACCTGTTCATCTTCTTCCCCTGTCACCAGGTTCACCTTTTCTGGCATCTGGACCACTGGATCAAACTGGATATTGTCATTTTCCTCTGTTTTATACATGTCGTCGTCATCCAGCTCATTTGAGGCATCTGTCTTGGTGGGGGTTGCTTGTAACGATGAGAATAACTTCTCACCAGCACCAGAAAAACTGGGGTTGTTCTGGCCAAACTGGAAGTTTCCCCCAGAGGAATTTGCCAAGTCTGCAAAACTGAACGCATTGGTTTTTCCAGCAATTAATGGATTTTCATCTTCCTCTGTTTGGCCTACTGAGGGTGTAGATACATTTTCTTTCTCCTTGTGTTTGTCAGCTATGCTTTTCAGGAAACTGGAGGCTGACCCTGATGGAGGTGTTGGATCACCAGCGGACGAAGTTTCTTTTGCAGGTTCCTCAATGCCAAACTTGAAGCCACCAGCTGAATTAGGCATTGAGAAAGAGAAGCCTGAAGAAGTTGTGGTACTAGATCCGGACTGAGGAACTTCAAACTTGAAAGAAGAAACTGAGTTAGCTTCTTTGTTTTGACCAAACTGGAAGGTACTGCCAGTTTCAAAAGGCATTGTAAATCCAGTTCCAGCAGGCTGGTTTGATGAACTCTTGGTTCCAAAGCTGAAGCTGAACGTGGAGGCAGAGGGAGCAGTGCTTGTTGTGCTTTTAGCATTTGGATTTGGTGTCTGACAGGCCACACACTTATTGGCAGAGGCATCATTTCTCACCAGACAGGTGTCACAATCCCATTCCCCATGCTTCTTTCCAAACATGACTTCTAAAGAGCCAGCTTTGTGTGGGGCATGGCAGGAAACACATTCAGCAGCTGATGCATCATTTCTGACCAAGCATTCATCGCAGTCCCACTGCCCATCATATTTTGCTAAATCAGCCCCAAATCCTGACACTGCTGGCAGATGTGATGGCCCTGTTGATTTAGCAGCAGGGTTGGGGCTTTTACATGCGACACACTTGTCTGTAGAGGCTTCATTTCTTACTTCGCATACATCACAGTCCCACTGCCCAGGTTTCTTGCTAAACTGGGCACCGAACCCAGAGCCAACAGCAGATCCAGAGGGCTGCACTGCCGGTGCATCTGCAGCTGGTGCGGTTTGTGCTGTTGCAGTTGTTTTAGGTAAGGCTTTAAGAGCTTTACAAGAAATACACTTGTCTGTAGAGGCTTCATTTCTTACTTCGCATATGTCACAGTCCCACTGTCCAGGCTTCTTGCTAAACTGAGCTCCAAAGCCAGAACCCATAGCAGATATAGAGGGCGGTGCTGCAGGAGCATCTGCAGCTGGTGCGGTTTGTACTGTTGCAGTTGTTTTAGGTAAGGCTTTCAGAGCTTTACAAGAAATACAACTGTCTGCAGAGGCTTCATTTCTTACTTTGCATATGTCACAGTCCCATTGCCCTGGCTTCTTACTAAACTGAGCTCCAAAGCCAGAACCAAACGAGCTTATTACTGTGTCAGCGGGTTTTGAGGTGCTGGTACCAAACGTAAATGAGGAGGGTATAGACGCTCCAAAAGCACCAAATCCAGTAAATGTAGAGCCAGAACTGCTGGGTTTTGATGAATCAGTCCCAAACTTGAAAGTGAAGGGACCGGCTTTGGGTTCACTAGCAGACTGAATGTCTGGCTTGAATGAAGAATTGGGATTGGCACTTTGACAAGCGACACATCGCATTTCCTTGGGTTTATTTCTTACACAGCATACAGTGCAGTCCCATTCCCCTTCTTTAAGACCAAACTGGGCTACCAGCGAATCAGAATCTTTTGAGCTTTCCTTTTTATTCTCATCGGGCTGACCGTGCTTTTCTGATGATTTGAGCACAATTTTCTGGGCTTCCTCAAATTTAGCTTTGAAAAGTGACGCTTCATCTACAGTTTTGAAGCGGATGGCCAGCTGTTCGGGCTTAGGCTCTTCATCTGCATAATCAATGGCGTTCCAGACCCAGGATTTGTCAGAGCCAGCGTTGGGTTTCAACAGCATATCCGCATTGATGTAGTGGTTTGCACAGATCTTAAGGACCTGTTCCCTTCTCATTAGGAGGCGGACCTTCCCTTTAGTGCTGTGTTTCAGGATTTTAACATTGCCAATGCCCCGTTCCTTCCACTCTTTTGTCTCTGTGTCAAATCGATATAGCTTTGCCCTGTTGCAAAACATTTCCTCCTCTTCCTCCTCACCTGTTTTCACATCTACTTTATCAGGAAGAGGGACAATGGGTTCAAAGTGTGGACCATCCTCATCCTCCTCAACATGAGTGCTGTCATTGTCGCTCTCCGCTGCTCTTTCCTCTTCTGCTGCAGACTGGACAACCCCAAACACTGGCTTGATAACATCTCCAAATTTAAATGGCTGGTCCACCTTGCTAAACAGACTTCCAGTGCCTGTGCTTTGCGGAGAATCAACAAAGGAGAAGCCAGTAACATTTTTATTGCCGAAGGTGAAGATGCCGGTTTGACTGGGGGGCTGCTCATGGGCTGAAGGCTTCTCTGAGGTTTCCAATACCTCTGTTTTAGTGGGCATGTCTGACGTAAGAAGACCAAGCAGACTTTCACTGTGCTTGGCCTGGGAAGCTGAGAAAGTGAAATCTCCATCGTTGGATTTAAAGTTTGAGTTGAATTTAAAAGCAGCTGAAGGCGTTGACTGGGCAACTGCCCCTGCTCCAAAGCTAGGCACTTTTGGGACTTCAGCAGGTGCCTGCTGACTGAAGGAGAGTTTCCCAAAGTCCATAGGCTTTCCCTCTATGCTCTTTGGAGGCTGAACAGGGATTACAGCTGGCTTGGTGAAGTAGCCAGGTTCAGGCAGTGGAGGGTTAGTGGTTTGGTGGGTTACACTCTGGCCATAGTATTCTTCACTGTAAGGGGAAAGAAGGCTTGTGGCTGGCGATTCAAACCGAAGAGGGGCACCAAAGACCTGCTCTTGAGGAGGGTAAATGCAGGCTGGGGCTGTCTGCAATGGAGGTGTATGAGTGGGCTGCTGGTAGGCATACATATGCTGCTGAGGCGGCATACGGTTCATACCATACATTGGACCCTGTGTAAAAAAAAAAAAATCATTCAGAACACTCTGAACATGTTTATTAATGTTAATTAGTGTTAAACAGTGACAATTATTACCTTGGTGGGGGTCACGTTTGCTGCTGTGCGCAGGAGATACTGAGAGTTATAAGCTGGAGACTGGTTGTAATACACAGAGGGGCCTGTGGTGGCAACTTAAAAGAGAAATATGTAAATATTTTGTTAAATTTTATAAACTGCAATACTTGCAGACAAAAATATGGAGCTTTGCTTTGGTTCTATGTAGTGTGCTGACCTGTTAGTGGGGCCCCATGGTAGGACTGGACTGGGGTAAAAGGCTCCTGTAGGCCCTCAGCCCCGTAGCTCTCCCCATACATCTTGTGATGAGGGGAACCTGCTGTCCCTGAAGAGTTGTGTCTCAGATCATGGACCTCATTCTGCAAAACAAAAAGCGTAATTAAAGAGAAGTGACGCAATGTGACTGATCTATGAAGAACATTTAACTTGCATTAAAGGTAGATTGTGTAGGATATCGACTTCATATACGGAGTCGTTCTCATGTTAAATATTGTACACTGTCAAAATAGTTGCAGGAAGAACCGGGCTTTTATTTGAAACAGGCCATTATTTATTATTTTCCCCTGCTATCTAAATACACATCCAATAAACATTTACTGCTGTAAACTTAAACTCTTCCTCCACATTTACTTTTTGTTAAAATAAATTCAGCATAATGTACCCATCTATTTCAATAATACCACACTTCAAACTCTATTGCTTTGAGTTTCTCTTTTATACTTTAACACTGTTCTCACTCATCAATTTATTCCTTCTAAGTGGAACCAGTGTGAAATGAAATAAAAAAACAAAAGATCATCTCTTGTCCCGACCTTCAGGGCTTCAACTTGCTGACACAGCATCTGGAGGAGACTTTTCTGGTCCTCCACCCAATGAGGCGGTGTCTTGGGAGAAATCTAAATAAAGGGGGAAAGAAATTATCAAGAAGTTACTTGTTTGTGTGGTGAAATCTCTCTGTATAAACCCATGGAAACATTAATATATAGACATTAAGAGATCTCAGATGGTCTTCTGAATGAGAACCAATAACCTGAACCTACCAGGTGTCTTTTGGAAGGAGAGACGATGCTTTTGTTAGGAGAGGGAGTGGAAAACTTTATGTGGGATATGGTGGCAGAGATTTCTGTGGGATGAGCAGGGCTGGAGTGGGTTGGTCCTCTTCGACCCCCCGCCTCCTCCTTCTCCTCCTCTTCATCCATGGCCTCCCCACTGTCCCCGAGCTGCTGGTTCACATCGTTCAGGAGGTCCACAACCTCCTCCATGGAAACAGGCAGCTGGAACACAAGTGTAATAAATGGTTACACAGCTGCAGGGTTATTCACATATACAAGTAAAAGCTCAAATAAATGGGACTTGCCTTCTCAATTTCATCTGCATTAGCATTGTAGATTTTTGACAAGTAGGTCCGGAACTTTCTCAGAAAAGTGATGCACCTATCTTGGGTCTCCTCAAGCCCGTTGCTGGCCTCCTCTGATAGCCGCTGATAGATCTGCCAAAGGAACACAGCACATCATAGAAGACAAATTCAGGTGCCAGAAACACTTTAGGGCATTGTTCTACATAGCAGCTTAGAGGATGTCTGTAACAATGCAGCAAACCTTGGAGGATTCAATGAAAAAATTAACAAATACAACCATACTGTCAGACACCATGGAAGTGAGTGCTTTTTATGGCATCAACAATGAATACCTTGAAATTCCACCTACTATTTTTTTAGGCAGGTGTAGAAAGAAGGCTGTAAAGTAAGAATGCTTTAAAAAAAAAAAAAAAAAGGCATTTTAGTTGTTTATAGCCAATTGTCTGCTTTTAACAGCCAAAGCGGGAATCATGTTTCAGCCAATCATGTGGTTCCACTGACGTAAGGGTTTGTTATTCTTCTACTGCGCATGCGTAGAAGTGGTGACATATGCGTAGTAGAATTATAACCGGACGGGGAAAACGCTTTTTAAACCTTATTTTGGGGCAAAGTTGTCAAACTTTTTCAGCGATTTTTTCCAGATTTTACTGCTGATTCAATTCATGTAGTTTTTATGTCCCGGTGACCTGTGCAGTGGTATTGTTAGTCCGAAAATAGCTGCCCGGAGGCGTTGCCAAGATGGCGGCCGAGTGGCATGACTTGCCTATAAGGACTTTGGTATGACTTACCTGTGCCAATTGCCAGATGGATGACATGTTATTGATGGTTTCCAAGGTAGCAATGGCCTCCTCTGTCTTGCCTTCGATGTCGAGGAGAGCCGCGTATGCTATCTTGGCTTCCTGTTCATAACCCCTAACAGAAGAAATCTAAACAGGAACACATACAATTTGTAAGTCACATGGTTCAACTTGGATCTGTCATTTGGCAAACTCTTCATTCTAAACAGCTATTAATTTCATAGGTGCTTACATATTTCATGTGGTGGCCCCAGTGGGAATCAAATGCCAAACCCTAAGATCTACCGTACGACCTACAGAAACACTTCCTGATCGAGAAATATCAAAAACCTGTGACACGTGAAACTACTACTTATTAGTTTCTTCACTAAAATCAAACATTCTTAAACTAAAACGTACTTTAACTAGCAACACACCCACAAGGTGTAAACACCATAAGATGAAGCACATCATTCATATATAGGAAAACAGCTTATAAGGCAATTTCTAAGATGGTTATTTGCAGGCAGTTTTGAGACTACACTGCCTCAGGATTTGTCCACCCATCAATACATACATCCAAAATTTATATAATAAAAAGGAAACCATTATAACAGTATTAACCTGAATATCTTTGGAGGGAAAGTGTATGAAGAGGGGTTCAAGGGGTTCAGGTATACTGCGTCGGTTCTTGATCTTTTCCAAAAGTGGAAGTGCAACTTCCCAGTAGTGGACGCTGCGGCCGATGTACTCCTTCTGATCGTAGTACGAGTGCACTCCATCACCCTGGGTTATTAAAGATGCAAAGACGGCTGAGCGTTAAAGAGAGAAGGTAAGCCTGCCGCATTAGGTGTAATGCGGGGAAGACAACATTAACAAGGTAAGACAAACAGTTAATTCACTTTTGACAGAAGACATTTCTTCAGTTGTTACAAATGCTACCATAAAACAAATGGACACATAGTCCAAGAACCAGCACATGTGGCAGTTTGGACATCTCGCTTGACAACTGCGATGTGATTAGGTGATAGAAAGGAGCAGGTGGAAAGGCATGTGTGTCTGTGCAGGATCTGGGAAGGTGCCGAGTTATCAAAGTGCTATTTTTCTGGCCCGGCTGCATGTCTGTGTGCGAAAGGCTGCCACCCACGACCATCTTAATAATGTTTAAAATGAAGGAACTGGGTCATACTGGTATATTTATATTGACGTTCATGGATCGCATACACTTGTCCTACACCTTGTGTTGCTTTGCTGTACGCTGTGACAGTGCTACAGTGTGGTGCTTATGTCTGGTTGCACATTACTCAACAATCTTTATTCTTTATGCAGAAGCAGAGACACTGCATAAAGGCAAAGCAAGTTATCAGTTACAATTTTTGTTAGCAAGGGCAGTTTTGAGTGAATTTTGGAATACTGTAAAAATACAGTCAAAAAAATCTCCTGCGACTCCATCTGCTAGTCAAGCAATCCTGCTTGAGGTCTCAACCCCACGACTGAAAAACACTTCCTTTCTTTTGTCTAGCTGCTTCTCGCAGAGCTTGTGGAAACATGCGCATGTGTGTGTACCGTCTGGCAGAGACACTGAGCCCAGTAGATGGCCAGTGCTGGTTGGAGCCCATGCTTCTCTCTGGCCCTCAGAGTGTTCAGTCCATGCTGCACAATCATCCGCAGTTTAGCTGACATGCCAGGACTACAAGGAGACATACAACAAAAACAGTGAATACACAAGATATTTACACCTACATGAGCAAGTACGCCTATCTTATCTAATGTGTGAGCCCCCTCAAAACTACTTGTGTTGGCCTGTTCCTGTCACTTATAGGAACAAAGTGAGGACAAAGTAAGTGAAGCAGGCAGACTGGTAGGCACCCGACTTTGTGCCCACACCTGCACTGTAACATGCATTTTGACAAGAGAATCTTTTTGGCAATAACTTTGATGAGGGCTGGACAATAAAACAATTATCTCAATATAATTGTTTTTCAACAACAATATAACAAATGTTCAATAAATCCATAAATGTTTGATTTTATTCACATCATACACAAATTAGGAATAAAATTTTTTAAGATATTTTCTTGAGTAAAAAGGACTGAAAAAAGCTTTTACTTCATTTTACTCATGCAGATTTGTTGACAAAGATTTTATCATAATTGTTGTTCTGAATTGAATGTTTTAGCTCAAATTTGTGCAGTGATCCACTGTTTGGCATCAAGTGTTGACCATAAAGAAGAGTTTAAACCACAATTAATCATCAGGTTACTTCCAAAATTCAATTCCAAAAATCAGCCATCATACTCGAAAGAAATAATGTTTTGATACATATCGTGATAATTATCGATATCGAAAGATGACACTTTTAACCGTGATAACATTTTTGGCCATATCGTCCAGCCCAAACTTTGATTAGTGTGTTTTTTATAGTAAACAAACTTAACCAAACATATCCAATATGTCAGACGTGGACAAACTAACTTGATATAATAATTTTATATTTTGGAAAATATGCTGCATGTTTTTTGTTTTAACCCTAGTTTTACTCACGCTGCTCGTTTGTGAATGAGGCTGTAGACGGCGTCCCACCACTCCCTCTGTCTGTCAGTGGTCAAGAGGCGAAGGAGGGGGAGGGGGAGGCAGCGAGGCTCATAAAGCTGCTGCTGTTGCTGCTGATTCACTCCACTGCTGATCTTCGCAGTCTCCTGGAGCTGACAGTGGCTACAGAACACCACTCCATATAAGAACACCTGGACGGAGTAGACAAGAAGCAGAGTTTCACAGTTAGGAGGAAATGCTAAATTTCAGAACCAATACAAGACCCGAGTAGCAAATGTGCCATTTATCAGTGAAGGTAAAGTCATTCACACATGTAGTGTTGTTCCATCAAGTACAGTTTCAGGGGCACATTTCAACGTTGTACTTATTTAGATGTTTTAGATAGTTGTGCATACAAGTAAAGTCTCAACACAGAAACCTATCCTTACTATACACCATAACTGACATACACACGCCAAAAAAATGTACAGAGCTAAGCAAATTCAGCTGTCTAATACCTGCAAGCAGCAGGTCAAGGGACCAAGTCAAAAGTGCATCACTCATACAGGTACACTACAGATTCTTTCTATAAAATAAATTTGGTCATTACAATAAAAGCATTTTTGACCCCTATGCTGACACTTTGCACAGCTGCAGATTTATTAAAACTACTGTTTTTTGTCTATGCTCACCTGTGGCTTTGAACACCTGATCCTGGGACAACTTATCTTACTCTATTAGTTTTTGAAAGACCTAATGTATTTGCTAAAAACATGATAACATATTATCACAAGCTCTGTCTGCCTGTTTGTTAAGCAATTGTTTATTGTAAATTGCCATAAACAAAATTTCCTGTTATTTCACACCTTTATTTGCATCATTAAATCATCTTTTATACATTTTATAACACTCTTGGGATGTACTGAGCATCATCTCTCCTGCAAAGCTTCCACCTGTGTCATCAGCCCACATGATTCCACCTACCTCCAGGTCTAACAGGCAGATGGACTCTGGCGCGTTGGTGTCCAGTTTGGAGGTTTCCAGAGTGAGCCTTGGAAAGAGCTGCTGTAACCAGTTCCGCAGGGCCGGTCTTTGGGCCAGAAGGGTCCACTGTAGCCCCAACCAGCTTAGGTGTTGCAAGTCACCACTATGCAGCAGGATGGAACCTACAGATGCATCAAAGTTATTACAACGTAGGAGTACTCAAAATGTCATAATAGCTACTTGGATGCAGAAAATTGCATTTTTAAGCCACTATTTAGTAGTTAGTCATACCAGCGTCCCATTTGGCCAGCTGAGAGAGATCTGGAGCCATGGTGTTAATGGAACGAATGTCATCATTGGCAATAAAGGAAGAACTAATGGAGGCCTGTGGTCCAAACAGGAGTTCAAACAGAGAGTCCTGCCCGCTACGGTTCCCAAACGCCTCCACCACCTACACACAGAAAACATTTGCTAAACATCAGCTTCAGTGTGTCAGTTCTACAAGTCATATTTTAAACATGCAAGTTAATTATTCTAACTAATATATTACAATGCCCTTCAGTGACACAAGGGAACTTTTCATTCCAGGGCTATATAACTTTTAACCAAACTAAACCAGAACACATAGACAGACCTCTCTGATCAAGGTGGATGAATCAGTGCTCAGATTTAGCAACATGTGGCCGGCCTGACTCTGTCGGTCATTGGCCAGCAGCTCCAGAAGCTGTGGGGCTGACTGGTCTCTTTTGGTCACTTTAGCCTTTGGTCTGGGGACCTGGTGGAAGGACAAACAAAACAAACTGTATTCAAAAGTTCCTCCTGGTCCTGGCTCCCGAATTAAGTTGTTAAATGGAAATTCGAAAGTTAAAGAACAAAGACTGCATTACTTGTCCTGTAAGGAAGCTGTCAAGAGTTTTAAAGTGGGAAGTTTTAACTTTTATTTTATATCTAATTTTTTAAATTTTACCGTCTTAAAAAGAGAATCCGTATTAACTGCAAGATTCAGGGTTTTGTTAATGGCTCTGGTAATATCCTAGCCTCATTCCTCACATGCATTTGGCTTATTAGTGCGTCAGTACCTGGTACGCCAGCAGGTAGCATAGTGCAGCCAGGTCAATGACAGCCCTCCAGGTCTGTTGGCGATCCTGAGCCAGCTTCAACAGCAGTGTGGCAGCATGCAGGTAGAGGTGACCTCTCATCTCCACAAACACTTCGCATAGATCATCTGTGTGGCGGCCAGCAACGCCGCTCAGCGTCTGCATAGCTCGGTCAAAACTACACACACACACACACACACACACTTTAATATACAGCACAGGAAATTAACTAACACTAACAAATCTGAATGAAGTGGTGTTTACTGTTTATTCAATGGATACAGCTTGTGTATACAAACACCCCGGGACATTAACGTGACCTACCCTGCGAGGGCATCGAGGCTGGGCTGCACGTTGCTCTCAGACAGTGTGATTCTCAGCAGGCTGCAGTGAGCCAATAGCAGCTCTCTCTGGAGACGACGACACATCTTCTCATTACTAGAGACGCTGGGCTGAGCTAGATACTCCTGCAACGAGAGGTCATCCATATTTTTTTGTATTATTTTGAAGTTATACAGGTTAGGTTTTTAGTTTATGAAATACAACAGAACATCACAGAAGCTTTCTAAATTGCACGCTTGTCCAACCCAGTCAAATATTGTGTACACTTCCATGCTGACCTGCAGTGTGTAACACCACTGTGTACCAGTCCAGACTGTGGCTCAGCATGCCCCTTTTCTCAGCAGCCAGGCAATGCTTAACGGCTTCATCCAGCCGCCCGTCCTGACAGAACAGCTGAACCAACTTCACGTTCACGTGAGCGTCAGCCGGCCTCGTTGCCAGCTCGGCCTGTAGGAGGTCAAACAGCCGGTTCCAACCTGGCTGACCCTGACGACTCAACAAACGCTCCTGCACAGGGTGGCACAGATAAACCAAACTGAGTCATTGTGGCATCCATTCCTCCTTTAGTTGTATATATGAATATGTATATGTATAAGTGTATATGTGAATACGATGGTAAGTTAAATACAAGTTAAAACTCATTAGAGGCATTAGATAACACCTTATGTGACACTCATACTGGAGATTCAGAAGAAAAGAAGCCTTACCTTCAGGTTGAAGACTGCAGGGTTTCCTGGCAGCAGCTTGGCAGCTTTCTCCACCCAAAACTCTGCTCTGCTGTCACATTCCTCCTTACTGACCAGTAACTCAGCCACCTTCAGCACCAGGTCCCTCTGGGCTGGGTTCAAGTCCACTGACCGCTACATACACACAGAGAGGTGCAGATGCACTAGTGTCAGTTTTAACAAAAACCTGCAGACATGTGATGATCTATCCAGAAGGGCGAGACTCCAGAAACAACATCCAAAACATCAAAAGTGTGAAGGAGACATTTAAATGGCTACTTTATTTAGTGGGATGTCTAATGAGGTTAATGAATAAACATGACGAATACAGAGTCTAAGGCAAGAGGGTTGCATAAAGCTCTCTGAGGCATATTTGTGATTTTGGGCTAAATAAAACTGACTTGATTTCAATGTTATTTTCATACTCTGTCTTTGTGACAACAAACTAAATCCTGAAACCTCCTTCTCACAATGTAAAAAAATAAATAAAATTTAGATTTTTTGTTAAAATTTTATGCACAATCAGGAGCTGCTTTTTATTTAAGGCCACAGCTGGGTGGGTGTCCAGCCTGAATAAAAATGTGTATGCGTGAAACAGACTCTAAACATTAGTGAAGGGCCATACTGACAAGCCCATCAACCTGAAACCAGCTACATTACAGTCAGTAAGCATTACTTCTTCTGATCATTTCGACAAGCATGAATACAGTAGCCTATATTACTGGAGGTGTGAATGAGACTGTCAAAAACTGCTGGATAGTCTGTAGGAACCGAAACTAGATTATTTTTAAATTTACACTTGCTACTGCAACTACATTCAGATCAATGTGTGTAATTTCCCTATGAAGGTATTAATATCAACCTAAAATACCAGTTTGGTTGGTTCACCAATTATGGTTAGTTACAGACACCTTGTACTGTAAAATATATGTCTTCATATTATCGCATTGCTGTGATGTAATCTTTTCAGCTCTGAGCACTTTTTTGTTGGGTGGAATGTCTGAAATGTTTATTGGCTGACTAAACAGACAGGGACCCATTTATTCTGACACACATTCCTAACTGGGAGTCTGTACACTTACAGAAAAAAGGAAGTGAAAGCTTAGGAATTAGGACGTTAGGAGAGTCAAATGCTAGCAGCAAAATTAGTTGAGTGTAATTCAAGCTGCAGCTGGCTCGTTAAATGCACTGATGATTAATCCACATTTTTACTAATTCCATCTGAACTGGGGTAACTTTATGAATCAATTTAATATTGCCTGTGAAGGTTCTCAGTCATCCAGCTTACAGTTATCCAACAAAGGTTGAGGTCAAGGGCAACTGGACTTGGTTGACAATACTAGAAGACTGACTGGTAGGGAAACACAGCTATTTAACCTCTGTGATCTATGAACCCAGTCAGTCAGAACTGAAAGTGTCTCTGGATGAGGGACAAAACGACTTCTAGTATCTTCAACCAAGTCCAGTTGCCCTTGACCTCAACCTTTGTTGGACAATATAATATTTCACAACCTTTTTTTCAGTCATTATTCTTATTTGGCACTTTTGGAAAGTTTTAAATCCAATTTGTTGGGAAACAAGAGCAAATATATACGTACAGGGTGCACTGTATGTGTGTCTTTGCCTTGATAACTGGGCATCCCCATCCTGATCTGACCACTATTAAATAAGAAGGTACATGTACTGCACTTACATAGCACTTCACCCACACGTAATCTAAGCCATCAGGAGCAATTTCAAGTTCAGTATCTAGCTCAACGACACTTTCACATATGGACAGGAGGAGCCAGAATTTGAAGCACTGCAATCAATAACATGAAATGCAGGGTCTGCAGAAGACTTTGATCATTCTTTTTTTTTTTTAAACAGTTGGAAGACAGCTTTGATTTCAAAGAGCAGCACACCATGCCATGGTTAGGAGAAAATGCTTTGTTTTGCACTTTCCCCACTCAGCGATTTGTTCTTCCTACCTTGTAACATCCTACTGCCTTGTTGATGTCTCCCTCTGTCTCGTAAAGCTGTCCAAGGAATTTGTGTGCTTTCGGATCTCTCTCCTGCACTTTGAGATACTCAGATACATGTCTAGGAATGAGACCGAAACGTGCAAGATTACTGTCAATATAATGAACACTTCTTGATGAGCTATAACAGATTTGGTCAACAACGGGGAAGCTTACCGTTTTGCAAGATCATATTCCTTTGCTTCAAAGTACAATTTAGCAAATAAAAACCCTTTGACTGGCTTCTGTGGACAGAAAACATTGAAGATGAACATCAGTGAACAAACAATATTTTATCTTGTTTTTTATTGCTTGTCTTGATAGATTTTATTGATGACAATAAAAAGGTACACATTGTGGTGGTAGTATAATGTACCCAGCCACCTGCAGTTTTGCATCTTTAATATCTTTACATCAAGGACAGTGATGATGGAAGTAAATACTTTTGTTTAGGATTTGGTCTTGTCATTCTTGACATGTTTGTAGTGAACATGTTTTATTGCCCTCATTCTCATAATGTAAAAAAAACAAAAAACTATGTTTTATGATATTACTGTTGCCCTTCATCTTGTCAGTACCTAAAGGATTCAGAAAACGTTTAGTGTAGCATTAACGTTAGAGACATTAGTAGGGCTGGGCGAAATTATTATGTTTTTCAGGTTTAAAGGCTGTTTTTTGTCAGAACATGACAAACACTTGATGCCAAAAGTGGATCACTTTACATATCTGAGGTACAACATTCAAAACAATTATGATAAAATATTTATTTAACAAATGTGCATGATTAAAATTTAAGGCAATTCTTTTTTTCACTCAACAAAATAAATATCCTAATAGAAAAATTGCTAAAGTGCTAATTCGTTTGTGATTCAAATTGACAACATTTATTTTACATTTGTTATATTGCTATTGAGGAAAATTATATTGCAATATTTCATATCATTATTGTTTTATTGCCCTAACGTTACCAGTCCTGTAACTTCTGAATGTGTATTAATTAAGCTAAATAGCAGAATATTTGTGAATAAGGTTCCGCGTGCAGCTACTCTAACGTTGCACGAGCTAACGGCTCGCGTCCCGGTCACGGGGGGGGGTTGAAGCCATGTTGTTCTAGATGTATAAAACTAGTGCGAGCTGGACAAGCAGTCTTAGTAGCTGCGTGAGTTACGGCTAACTAGGCTAGCACGGCTCCGGTAACCTCAACAGCCCCGTGCCGCGCAATTTTACAAGGGGAGGACCGAGATGACGAGGCGTCATCATGCCGGCTAGCTAAGTTAGCGTCTGCGCTGCTAACCACAGAGAGTTAACAGAGGTTACACAGACCACACAATTCAAGCCGACTGATTCAACGTAAGCTTAGTTAAAACTACAACTCCTTCTCATCTGATCCTGGTGTCCAGGTGGTTCCCTGGTACCGGTTGGCGGACACATGCTGGTCTGACGTGATGGCAGCAGCGTGCTAACGTTAGCCGCCGGTCCAACTTACCTCTTTGAGTGAGGGAGAGGAACTCTGTACCGAGGAAACGTAGCGGTCCACTTCAGCCTTGCTCCGCCGCATGGCTTCCAAAAACAAATACTTCTAAATCGGCTGTCTGTAGAGCACAGGATACAAGGAATGAACAAAATATAAAAAATGACATAAACGTCGGTTAGGCTGTCACTACGTTAACTCCCCATGTTTATTGCGCAGTCTCGTTACCGTCAAATGGCAGAGGGTCACGTGAGTCGTGAGCGCCTTGAATCCAGGCTCTTTAACCAATGAAAATCGAGTACTCAGAATGACGCACTTTATTTTGAAGGAGAGGTGGGCTCACCGGGGTGAACCCTCATGAGCAATTTCTATAATTCAAATATTTTGCAACACTACTAATATAATTATTATACACAACACTAATCAAACATTTCTGAAACCTTAGTGGGTTGAATTTTGCCAGAATAATTGGGTATTAATTGATAATTAAAGGGAAAGATGAAAATCCATTAATACTTGCAATGTTTTAAACAAAGTTATTTTATTAAGCCAACTAGGCCTTCATCAGGGTCAGTGTAAGTAATCTATGTCTAAGGACTATAATATCAGAGTTGTTTGTGCACCTTAACTGGGGTAAAGTTTTACAACATCAACTCAACCCACTTAATTTTTTCAAGGAATGGCATTTTAGCTTGAATAAACCCAAATATGTTACATTCAGCGTAAAAGGATCAAGCCAAAGTGGCTAAAACATTTAGAAACCCAATATAAAACTCCCTCTAAGTGTGATTAATTATATTTATTCAACCACAGTAATCACAGAAACCAAGTATGTTTGAGGTGAGGTAGAGCTGGAGGCAACTTATTTTAAATCTTGGGAATCTGCCATACTTTTGAGTGTAATTAAATGACACGTGAATCCTAAACCTGCTAGGGATATCATGTTACACTCCACAGAGGTGAGAAACTGTAAACCAAAAACATCACTACACAAGTAGCATTGACATATATGTTTATTCAGATGTGTTGATCAAATTATCTTAGATATAATGAAAAATAACTTTCCATTCAAGTTTAGAACATGCACTTTGGTGTGTTTACATGAATAAATGTTGCTTCTTGCCAAGTGAAGCTAACCGTGAAGTTAAAATACAGTATAAGAGCATTGTCTGTCTGTGTAGAGTCATCTAGTAAGATATAAATTAAAACTATTTTTAGCTGAGCTGAAGTTCTGTTTCACAACAAACAGTCCAGTGGATAGTTTTATGTCTACATGACACAACAGTAACATAGGCTTTGTATTTCCATAAAATAGTGGAATGTGTTATTAAGCTAATATGTAAAAAGAAAAAAAGACTTCTACGCTAAAATACTGCTTAAGTGAAACTATTCTTCCTCCTTCACAAAAGTTGGCTTTCAATGGGTCTGAGCCCTGAGGAAGTCGGTACCCCTCTCTAAGAGGATCACTCTCTCTGGATTACAAACAGCAGAGACACACGTTCCAACATCTAACCCTGCTCCCACATCCGGTCTCTGCACATGCCACAAGCCATCATGTTGTAACAAACACAGTTACCAGCTGCCATGCAATAAATCCTGTTACTGTGCAGCTTATTATGTTCAGTATTTGTGGACAGCAGCGTGTCAGAGGAGTTGCTTCGTCTCTAAAGTAATTTTTAAGCTGTAGTTATGGTGCTGAAGTGGACTTCCTTACTTTTAGAGGTGTTTCTAATATTCTGTTGACCTTACTGTAAAATGAGCTGAATATTATAAACTCAGGATTCATTTAAATGCAGTTGTATTGGGTTATATTAGATTGTACAAGTGAACCTAATAAACTGGTAACTCTGTTTGCATAGAGCATGTTTCACACATAAAATGCATAGCACATAACTGCAACATACTGCAGCCGAAGTTGAGTCCATTACTGTAGCACTAAGGAGGGTACAGTATGACGTCTGCAATTCTAACTTTATAGAGCTAAACACAAACTTATTTAGCAAAATATTAAAGACACATTCATAATACATAACATGATACATGTTGGTGGAAAACAGGAAATATTAGAGACATTATACACATATTCAATAAAACAGTATTTTCCTCTCAACTTTCTTTGGGTTAACAGCGTTATTATACAAGAGTAACATCAGTCAAACAGAGGACACATGGCTGGGCATCATGAGACGAGTTGGCAGCCTGTAACACAATTTTTATTATTCTCTTGTTTCTGTTCTCTTAAAGCTCATATAATTTTGAAATTCAGGACCGTCATCTGTTTTTAGGTTTAATATATATATATATATGTATATATAGTGAAATAAGGCAAGCGCGTGAAAGATATACAGTGCAGTATTTGAGCCAAAAGGCACTGAACAAGTTATTGTTAAACCTTCTGACTGACTGACCAACTGTTTACCCGTCTGTCAGTTTCAGGCTCATGAAATGCTCCTCACACACAAATGCTAGTTATAGGATTGTCAATTCTGGAAATGTGACCTGCATGGCCACCTCACGGTCTCATCTGTTTCTCCCTCCCGCCAGCTGCTCCACTGTACGTTTACTTTCGTGCCACAGTTTCAGACAGCTTCTTCAGCCTCTTCTTCAGCTCCAGAGGGAATTTCTCGTAGCACTTCTTGCACACTGGCTTCATGTCAAACTCCACAAACTTGTTCCTGAGGGAAAAAAGGGTTATAGCCATGTTTTACAGTTTGAAAGTTTGATGTCATCACACCCAGTATGTACATATCTGTGCCAATGATATGTCTACTAGCATGACCTCTAGCGCTAGTTACACTTTACACATTGGCAATCCAACATTTCATATCATTACAAACCACTTCTGCAACAGACGCATGAAAGGCTGGAATGCTTGAGTTATAAAAAACTAAAAACAAAACTACTTGGTTAAAGTGAATTTTAAAAATGGCCCTTTTCAGTTATTTATTATTTTCCTCACCATCTAAAGTGAGTTGTACTTTTGTTTTAACGCCTGAAATATTGTTATAGTGAAATCTGTCCTTATCCTTTGTACTCTGTCTTTATTAATAGTGCGATAATTTTTTTTGATAGTTCCTAAGAAACATCATTTTTAGATTACTTATCAATCTCTTAGCTGGTTAACCCCAAAACCTGTTTTTTGCCATTATTGATAGCAGATAGCAGAGAAAGACAGGACACATGGGAAGAAATAGGTGGAGAGATGGATGACGTGCAACAACAGTCCCAAATCAAAACTTGTTTGCAAATGTTTGGGACAACTGGTCGAAAGTTAGAACAGTGAGAGACCTGGATGCAGGTGCACATCGGGCAAATCTTGTAAGGGTTTCTAAACATTGTAGCTCTGTGCTTTTTAAACATGCTTGATATTTTTTCATGACCTACTGCATTTGCTTGAATGAAAACAATCATGTATCCCAAACCGATGGCAAAGTTTACAGATGCAGATCCGCATGCCGATTAAAATCTTCTCAACATTTTTTATGTTATTAAAAAATTGTGAGAACTGTGAAGCCTCGGCGGAGGTCAATGAGTTCCGTGACTGCATTTTGGGTGTTTTCTGTATTAACTGCCTTTAATTCCACTCATGCTGGCAAGCTGTCTGAACCTTTCCCCCCAGCTGCCCTGTACTACATTCCCTTCAAAAGCAGATAATCGCTGGCGGACCCAGAGCCCACGTTGTTGCACCTCAGCACTTCCACAGTTGCAGCCAGAAAGCTGCCGGAAGTGATTAAGGCTCTTTACACCCAAACAGACCAGGAGACCCATAAAACAACGCATTCCCTTCGCCATGTGACTTATCGGATTTCCATAGCAGAGGCTACCAGAGTACCAGCCTTAACCCTGACTAGTGTTTCTGGCTGAGAAATCCTCATGTACTAAAACCAGTGTTAGGTCACTAAAATATGTTCAGCCTGTGCATATTCCAAATGTCTGCTTTTGTCATTTGGCTTTAAAGAAAGATGAACTAAGTATAAAATTGATATGTGGGATAAAAGAGGCACGTAGCATGTTTGAAATATGACGACAATGACACAGAAAAAGAATAGAATAGAACGGAAGGAAGGTGGAAACTGACCAATGGAAGAACAGTAGAAGTGAGGAGAAAGGAGAAAAAGAGGATCACAGACACATGGGTATCAATAATTTCTTCTTCTTCTCTTTTGAGTCGCGTTCGCGCTTGGCCAGCCGGCGCTTCATGTCATCCGGCAGGCGCTCGTAGCAGTGCTTACACACCGGCTTCAGATCCACCTCCACAAACTTATCCCTGACAGAGCAGGGAGGAGGGAGAGATGGTGAGGAGTGTGAAAGAGACATTGAGGAGGCAAGGGGTAAAAACAGAGGAGAGAGGGCAGTAAAAGTGGAACAAGAGAAGCACAAAAGAGGACAAAGAAGACGGATGATGAAAGGGAGGAGAGGTGGAGAAACAAGCCCACAGAGACACAGTATTAAAAGAGAAAGGTGAAAAAATCAGAGTGAACAGGCTTGAAAAACAGAATAGTCCCAGGTGCAGGGTAGTTGTGAAATAGAAAAGTGACATGCAAGAGACCAATCCACATGTGCATTTCTGACACTTAATAACTTAATAACATAATGTAGGTTAAAATGTGTGAACTGATCCAAGTCCACAGTGATAGTATTAATGTTACAGTGTGTCATCTTAGACTTGTGTATTACTTACTTGAGGGTGAGCTTGGTGTTGCAGGTAGAGCATGCAAAACAGTTGACACACCAAGCCTTGTTGAGGGCAGACACCACTGAAAAAAAAAAATGAAGAAACAGAGTCACATGACTAGTCTTCATATGACAAAATTTACATGGATTTGGTTTAGTCTGAAATTCAGAAACAAATTTGCAAAGTAGACAAGGAATCTGCACACAATGTATAGATCAAAATACAATGTCATATAAAAGAGAAGTCCCAAGGTAAAAAAGTGCTCTAATTACCACTGATGTAAACAGGGCTGCACAACAAGTGACACAAGACCACTCCACCCATAAACCATTAAATAAATTTAATTAAAACAACTTCTCTCACCATCTCCTTCGATAACACGATTGCAGTGGTAGCAAACATCTCCAAACAGCTGAGTGTGACGAGGGGAGAGAAACAGAGAGTGAGCAACATATTCACACATCTTATAAATTATGATATTCAACAACACAGGCTCATACAACATGCTGAGTTCAAAAAAACATGCAAAGAAACACAGACATTTTGTAATCTTTCCAATTAGCACTTCACAACACAAGTATTGTGTTGTGAAAAAAAATACCTCCACTAGGTGGAGTCATTCCACTGAAAAGGGGGGCGGGGGTCTGTGTGATCAATCTCAAGTCACAGAAATAATAAAATATTGTCATAATATAAATGGAGCAAGAGGAGGAGAAATGTCATGACAGGCAAAACATGGCAGGTATTTGTGTGTTCAACATAAATATTCCTGTCGAGTGTTACCTGGTTATAGTGTGTTTCACAGTAGGCCAGGCCCTTGCGCTCGTAGTGACGGTGTCCCAGGAAAGGTTTCTCACACTTAGCACACACAAAATGCTGCAAACAAAACCCACGGCCAAGCACATGTGGTTAGCACAGCTGTCAGTCAGTAAATGATCACATTCAGGCAGCAGCCCAATCTGGCTCAGACATTTATCAGGTCAGACCACAGTCCAGATGTCCTGTTACTGTGTCCAAACAAGATTACGGAGAGCAGAGAAGGTGGACAGAACCGCGAGTTTGAGACAGTGTGCTAATCCTCCAAACAGACGCATCAGAACTTAAAGAATGTACACTATTTCTGATCATGCGCTCATAAATAAAGCACCCCTTATGTGTAGGAGACACCATGGATGAGTATGACAGAGCAGAGTTACACCAATAGATTTTGTTATTTCTTTGCAGAGAGTTTTGCTAGACAGTTTTGTTTTGTTGCCAATATTCAATGTTTTTACAATTTACCAATTTTTATACCAAAATAAACAACAGATTTCTGCCAGAATATTCTTGTAGTGTGTAAAACGCCACTGACTGAGCAGTATATATCATCAAACAATAAAACTCTTCAGAGACCCTGATCAACTAATTTAATCCCAAACTGTTCGCTATGCTATTGAGTACATAAAACACAATTATAATTTAAAAATTAGACTGAAAGAAATAGATAAAAAAAAGAAAATCATTAGCTTTCTTTAAGTTATATTCAATGTGATAATATTTTAAAATAAAGTGCAATATAAATGTTGAGTTAGGAAAAGTAACTCCTTTGAGGCAACTGGAGTGAAAATATGATCTGGCCTGTAGATGTCAAGTGTTGGACAGACACACTTATATTAGTGTAACCCTCGCATGGAGGGTGGGAGTGTCTAGCAGGGAGTAGTGTCACACGGGGCAGCAGTCAACATCAGGCTAATCCTTAATGCCCTCACCATGTCAAAGTGTCTCTCACAATAGGCGCGACCACCTCGCTCATAAAATGGGTGGCCCTGAAATGGGCGCTCACACACAGTGCACACATGATGCTACATGTGGGGCAGGAAAGACAGGAAAATGGCCATAAAATGTAGAAAAGACAGAAGAAAAGATGAAGATAGGTGGTGGAATGACGCCAGAGAGGAGATATAGGACGAAGGAATGATGCTCGGAGATGGAGCGTACTGAACATAACTGTGGAGGTAAAGCTGGAAAAAAGTATAAGTCAGACATATTACACTGGAATTAAAGAATAACTGCAACAACAGAGAGAACAAAACAAAGGCCTGAGACACGTACTCTTGAATGAATAGCTACCTTCAGTCTCTCAAATATGTACAACTTCAAGGAAATTGCATTTCCGCAGGAAATCCGTTAAAGAATTATTGTAAATGTTGGCAGCCTCTGAGAGGTCCATTCAGTTTCTGTATACAGAAAGTAAAAATCAATAACAGAAGTCTCTCCTAAGTTTTTAGTAACATCGCACCTCCACATGCCACTGCTTGCCCATAGCGTTAACCACACGGCCCTCAATGGGTCTCCTACAGGCCCCGCAGATGGGGACACCCATCTTGTCGTGGCAGGGCAGGCAGTAGAGCTCCCCCTTCAGCTCCCTGGCATCAGCTGTCAGCTCCTTACTGCAGAGATAAGAGGAGAATAAATAAAACTAGATCAGCTCTGTAGGTAAGACAAAACTGAGCAAATGCAGTTGAAGTTAAATAAACATATATGCACAAATAAGAAATAACCAAATCTGGTGGGAAAAAAGCCCCCACAGGGTTGACGCTGCAATTACAGTGCAATTAAAGACTTTTAATGAAAGATGTCATGAGTCAGATCACAGCATGGGTATGTGTTACCAAATTGGTCCACCAGAGAGCAGCACTTGGTCCATCTTGTTCTGACAGATTGAACATGCTGCATTTGTTGAGTGTTATAATAACAGATTATCTGACTCATCTAAATATATTCACTGGATCCCAGCCTCAAAGAGTAGTGCACGGTACGTGGAATTGAAACACCTCCATGTGCAAGTCAGGAGCATTTCAGGACTGTTCTCAACCTGACACAGCTTGAAACTGACTATCTACTGGAACATCTTTTTATCCCACTGCCTTCATGCTCTGAATGATTTATAAGGCTGACACAGCTGGCCAGGTTTGTGTGTGTTTGTCTGCTTGATTACCCGCAGTTGTTGCAGTTGAAGTGATCAGGGTGGTAAGGATCATTCTTGAACAGCAGAGGCTGCTCCTCAATAATGGCGTGACACTTCTGGCAGACGTACTTGCCGAGGCCCCGAGCTTTCTCCCTGTTGTGGCATGGACGACACAGGTGCCTGATGGGAGAGGGAGGAACAGGTAAGTGAAGAAAATGACACAAAAAAAAAAAAGATTAGATATTTTACTAATCTCCTTAGATAGATCAGCAACGTATCCGATGTGTTCCAGGGTCAGCCAACTAATGTACAGTATCTCCTCTAGCATGTTCTTCAATGATCTTTCCACTTGCACAGCCAAATGATGGTGAGTGGTTGAAGAGAACCTGACCTTCCAGCATTCTTTACAAATCCAACATCAGCGAGCACGGCCTCGCAGAGGTCACAGCAGAAACAGTCTGGATGCCAACTGTTGTTCATGGCCTTGATCACACGGCCAATGATGAACTCACCTTGGAGAAGAGCAGAAGATTGTGGAGAACTTTGAGAACAGTTATATGAACATTTATTGTTTAAAGGGCATAATCTCCAAGACCCAGATCCACATGGCTCTGAGTAGGCAGGGTCAGGGAAAGAAAACTATCGGATGGTGTTTATTCTCTGTTACTGCAGTTCCTGTACTTACCACACTGGTGGCAGCAGGGAGCAAACAGCATCTGGAAGTCATGTTCACAGTATTTCCTGCCTTCAAACTGTCAACAGAATTAAAACAATATGTACACAATTTCTGCACACAGCCGAATAATAATAATAATAGCAAGACCATTAATAAAAAGTATAATCCTAAAACTCATCTCACCCAAACCCTGTATACACAGATATATTCATATTGACATGTTATGTTGATAAAAAATGGCATCACTAATGTGTTTTTGTTACCCAGATAAAAAATCTGACTATTGTTTTCTCATGAAAGAATGTGTCACAATGCAGAACCACCATCTGTCACACAGTAAACGTAGCACTTCAGGCTGAAGCTGTTATATCTGACGACTCAAATGACTAAAGGCAACAGTCGAGGAGCAGGCTGGAAAGAATAGTCTATTCAGTTTAATGATGGCAGCTGTAAAATATTACTCAGCAACACTAACTGATGTACTAAAAGAGGAGGAGAAATGATGTAAAGGCAGAAAGCAAAAGAGAACGATTTTAATGAGCCCTCCAAGTTTTTTATTGTTTCTTAGAAAGCGCTTCTTGAAATGCAGTCATTACTTCGGATTTTGTTGTAACAAGCTCAAATCAATTGCATGTACTGAGGATATCACATTGTTGTCATATATTGTAAATAGTTCTTGGTGTGCATTTTGTTTCATGTGACTTAGTAAATTGCTTCCAAATATTTCATAAACAAAACTGTTATTATAATTCAAATGTAGGTAGCATTACTATCTAACTAACAAACCAGTGATGCTCAAAAACATCAACAAGACACACATACTGTAGGTAAAAAGAAGTCACTTTACCCATTGAGGCTCTAATGGTTAAAGGTTGTAAATAAATAATAATCTTTGTTTTGAAAAGGTAAAAGAAAGAAGAATTGAGTCTAGCAGCCATTAAATCAACACGAGCTGTAGAGTTTTCCGCGTGCCTGTGACAAGCAAAGACAAGCAAATGTTTTCTTTCCACTTTAAATTTACAAACTCAAGAACAGTATGATCTACCACTTCAAACTTCTTCTAATACATTAGCAGGCGACTACTGCTCAACACAGAGGAAGGGGTAATATTCTGTTGACTGTTATTTATTTCTGGCAACATGTTGAATTATTTACAGAGACTAAAAGTTAAAGTAATGTCCTTGGCTTTGATGTTCCTATCGATCGGAGTATTAGAGACACCTTCTCTTCGATGAACTGACAAAATCGAGGAGCTTCAGCCTAAGAGACATCTTGTCTTGAGCCAAGCCTGGTTAAGCAAACAGCTTACTGGAAGTGGGCTTATAATAATTCAATGCAGCATTAAGGTCGTGCTCATCCGCTCTTTATTTACCTCAACAGGTCCATGTGTTGGACTAACAACAGCCTTGCACTAAACAATGATCTAACTGTCTGTAGAGAGAAAGCCAATTCATGGGCATCTGAAATGTATTTTAAGTTAGAAAGACAAGTGTAACCATGGTAACATTGAACTTTTCACAGCAACTTCTGTTTTCAGCCAATAAATCAAAGCATCTATTGACTTGTCCTCACATGCTGTAATGTTAACTGTGTGTATTTAACTGAACTGTAGACACTGCAGCAAGTGTGTATCTGACAATATAGTGTATATCAAAAATCCATTGATTGACTCCAGACTGTCCAAAAGTCAGCTGCAAGGCATTTAACTAGAACAAATAAATATGACCACATCACCCCTGCTTTAGCTTCATTACACTGGCTCCCAGTAATTTTTAGAATAGACTTTTTATTGTTTACTTTTAAAGCTCTTCATGGCCTCTCGCCCTGTTATATCTCTGACCTTTAGTCCCATAGTACCAGCACGTACCTTGAGCTCCTTGGGCAGATGTCTGTTCCAGAGTCCTGACTAAAAACTAAAGGGGACAGAGCACTTGCAGTCAGGGCCCCGAAAATGTGGAACAGCCTGCCCGCCCAGGGCTGCTGAGTCAGTGAACTCTTTCATGTCCCTTCTTGAAAGATACTTTTATAGCCTTTGCCAATTTTATTTTATTATATATCTTTTACATTTACTTTTAATGTGTATTTTAGTCTCTTAAGTGTTATCTAGCTTTTATCATGTATTTGTTTTTATGTGTTTTATTGCCTTTGCACTTCATAAAGCACTTTGTAACTTGTTTTTGAAAAGTGCTCTTTAAATAAAGATTATTATTATTATATGAGCCCTGCCGACAGGAGCTACAGTGTTTTTTAGGCATGTCTATATCATAGACTGTATAAAAAAAAAGGTCTAAACCAATGAGTAATATTTCATTGAATCATATTGGCTATAAAAAGTCTAATCCCTTTGCAAAGCCCATTATTATTGTGATTCATTGCTCTCCAGGTGTGTGTACAGGTGTTAGTTAAAGCTGCCAGTTCCATCTTCTATTGAATGATGACGCACTGAAAAGACAAAGTGTCACCTCATAGAAGAGTCCCTCTGGGAACTGTTGGAAACACTGGGCGCACACGAAGCACTGCTCATGGTAAAGTTCCCCGTTACTGTTGACGATCTTCTCAGCTGGGGCGAAACCGCTCTTGCAGCGCTCACACATGGCATTGGCCAGAGCATTGGCCATGTTGCTGAGAAGGAAAAAAAAAACATTATAATCAGGATCAGAGGACACTTACGTAGTCAAAACATGCAGGCATTACAAATTTCATATAATAAGTAAAAGTAAAATGAACAATTGTACAGAGCATATAATGATGTTTACTGTACGCAGGTTTGCCAGTAGAATTCTGTTTGATGATTTATTGTAATATATATTCACAAATCCATATTAAATTTTATTTATTTATCTGAAATCATTATCATATAATTCAGATTATTTTAATGTATCATCAATTTGTTTTATTATCAATGTCATGTTTGTTAATAAGAAGGTGTTATGTTATGTTTTATATCTTACACATATATATGTATATATATTTTATTCAACTTAATTAAAAGCACAGTGCATCTGTTTTTAATTTCATTGGTCAATTGTTTCTGTAAGTCATATTTCGTTATATCAATAATCTGGAAACTGCTAGGCATGGCATTGGCCAGGGTCATTTCAGGACACACCTAACATCAATATTTCAACATCTATCACATGTTTCTCCTGTCGCGAAAACAGCTGGAAGATGTACTCAGCACAAAGAGAGAGGAGAGTGGGAAAAATGGGATGAAGAGGATATCAGCCCATGCAAACAAACGCACACACTATCTTGTTTCTAGGTTTGTTTTGGCTCTGCTTATCAGGGTGTGGGGATCAATGAGGCGGAAAAAAACCCATAAACTGTTGTCTTTTGAGAGACAAGGTGAGGTTACTGTTCATTCATCAGCACGGTTCAGTTAGTATGATATACGGAGCCAATAATTCTGCGTTTTCATTAAACATAGAATTGTTTTGCTGCCTCTCTGCAAAACATGACTGTAATATATCAACGGGGCAGGGCCCCACGCTAATAATTTTTTCCATTAGAGGCACTTGTGCCAGAACCTTCAGCCCAAATATGGTCACACCCAAAAACCGGCCGCAGTGCTTCAGAACAGGGTATTTAATTATGCTCACCATCACATTTGTTAGTCACAGCACAGAAAAGCAAAATTTAAAGTAATTAAAAATACCTTTAAATTCACTTTTGTTATAGAGATTAGCACTAGATAAACAATTTGATTGATATAATCAAACAACAAAACATGGCAATCTAATCTCATTTCTCCTACATCATCATCCAAACTGGATAAATATATGATTACAAATGTGTCAAGCAATTGCTGAATGGTCCGTCAGTTCATATTTACAACACTTAGTTTTTATAGTTGGTGATAAGCTTTGGGAATTTGAGAAGGCAAGTCATGATGTCATTTATACACTGCTCACAGGCTGATTGGTCCAGTATGTTTCTGAACAGCCTGAAGTTATTCTACAACGGATGTTTTGAAACTTTAATATCCTAGTGAAAACTGATACAAGGGTCTGACTTATTCTCCTATTTAGGAATACGTGTTATGGATGCAAAATCTGTACCAGTGGACAATTTTCTATCATCTCATAATATATATAGTCATATCGCCCAACCCTTTTTCTATAACAGATGTATGCTAAGGCTGAACCTTGGACTAAATCCATGATTAGAATAACAATGCTGCTTAATACCTGAAAGAAACTGGAAGTAACCGTGAACATGTTGCAGACAAACACATGAAAAGAGAAAAAGAGAAAGGACAGGAGCATGGGACCATCCTGGCTTCTCTGCTTTGTTTGAAAGGTCAGAATACCAAAGTGTGTCCAGGCAACACACAGTCACACACACAAGACCATGTCAGATTTTTATAGAGTGATGCCATCTGTTCACATTAACTTAGTTAGATCAACTCGGGAAATAACAAGAATTCCAAAAACTCCCAGACACACTACTCATCCCTTATATTTTTTGGGGGGGATCTTTACTCTATCATCTATCAACAATGCACATCTCTCTCTCTCTCAGATGTCTCAACTGATTACTTTAGCCGTGTTTCCATCTAAATGCAAATTAGATGCGTTTTCATCAACTGGTTTGGAGCGAATAAACTAGACTACGCAAAGTGTGGTTTTATCAGGAGTTGACATTACGCATGGCTGTAAAGTATAAAGTTGTAAACAGCAAACAAAACTAGTTGCATGGACCTGAGGACCATGGATCTGATCATACTTCAAAATTGTGCATAAAAATACATTGATGGAAACACGACTATTGAAACAAGATGTAGGAATAAACACAGTTTTCATTTGGTTCCACTCCTCAAAAACTGATCAAATACATATTGGTCTATATACCCTATCTGGCCTGATATCACACACTGACAGCCCTGCCCTGTCCAAAGGATTTATGGGAGGAAGTGATACATCCATTAGGCATTTCCACCCTCCTGTCTACCTCTAGCACCCTGCGTGAGTGAGAGACAAGCCTATAAGCAGTTGTCGGACTAAAGCAAAAAAGGTTTCTGTTTCAACTGCCACAGTCAGTAAAGCTGTAACATCAACTCTTAATAAGTATTAAGAGTGTGGACAGACCAGTTAGGCTGAGGAAATCATCAGCAAGGACATGATCCCTCACCATCTTCCCACCAATTGCCAATTGTGTTGCATGTGGTCAAAACAAAACCACTTGGTAGAAACTTGTACCTCAAACTAATCACAGAACTACTTTGCACCTTTATGGTGGACTACTAATCTGTTCAGCTACATCTTTTCTTTCAGTTTTTGGAAAAAGGTTTGTGGCAAAAACAGGTACTATAACCACATAGACAAATTTAGATTCCTGCTAAGAATCCATATGACTCTCCTTCTACCTTGTTAACCCCACCATGCTGGTCTGTGACTATAAATGGAGGCTGGTTGTCAGTAAAGGGAACGATGCAGACTATAAATTCTGTTATGAATACCTTCTGTTCCCTCCACCCTCCCTCCTCTGATCTGTTCAGTTCTCTTTCTTTTGTCTCTCCTCTACTTTCTCCTCTGTCCTGCAGACCCTGACTATGCAGGTAGTAGAATAATACGTCAATAACAAGGCATTTCTCTACACATTGTTTGTTAGTTTTAACTATTATGCCAATATTATGGAAAACTGAGATACAGATTGCTGTATGAATATCCAAAGCTCACCAATGTCTTTCCTGAGCACACACAAGTGTAAAGTTCTTGCACTCAACACTGACGTGTCCAGTTCTATTTAGTCCAGCATTTTCAGGTATCAAAAAGTAATTAAAGAATCCAAAATCACTGTACATTTGTGGTTTATTCAACTAAGAAGTTAAAGCCCTAGTTTGCAGCAATGTACATTCAAACATACTGACAGACAGGGGCAAAGTTATATATCTGAATATAACAAAAAATATAACCAAAACACTAGGAGTCACATAAGTCAGGCATTTTCAAATACCACATACAGGGGCAAAATGCATTCATGTCTCTTAAAAATAAATATGGGTCCCCAGTATGTCTAAGACTACCAAACTATAAAAAAAACATCCTCTCTTTTATTCCTTTGCTCTGCTATGTCTCAGCAGACATCCCCAACCCCTGAACTAAATACACTGCTTTCAGCTTTCAGCCCCCGATAAAACACAACACCAAGGGGTCACTGCATCGAGCTAAAACTGGAGGCTGTTCAGTATGTCTCGCAGAAAGTGCTTTTATGGTTATAAATGAGATGTAAATATTTTCTGGTTTTCCCAACTGTCCTCCAGCTGCTCTGCTTCAACTCAACTTTCCAGAGTGAATCTGATGGACAGATTTACTTGTTGCTAACACTACAGTAACCGCTAGCTACTGGTAACTGTATCTGCCGTTATCAGCTGACTCTGCCCAAACTGGGTGCTCCCAGCAAACACCAACATGCCCCCAGAGCAACAAGCATCCAGTCAGAGCAGATTCAGCTAACAGGACAGCTAGCTGCAAGGCAAACTGGGATAACTAGCTAGCGGCAGCTACTGTTAGCAGTACTTAGCGGCTAAAGTAATCGCTAACAAGTCATCTGTCCATCAGCAAATGCCGTAAATCACAAGAAAATATTTTCTCCATGAAATATGATCCAGTTTCACCAAAACCAGTTAATAAAGTAGTGTTTTTGTACAGTAATCAGTGAGGCTTAGTTTCACATCGCCAGAGATCTCCATACATCATGAAAGCGCTGCGCTGCGCCAGTTGCTGCTAGTGATGTGTCGGTCACCAATGAGTCAGCTCTATGACACCAACACTGAGTTAGAAAAGGCTTCAAAACATCCCTCACAAACCTGTAGGTGACCCCATGTCTATGTTTTCCTCCAGCCTATGATGAGGCTGGATCAGTCAGAAACACAGCATGTATATTTAGCCTTCCTGTCCCCCTTGCACACATACTTGGGATGCCAGTTGACATATTCTACTTTGCATAACAACTCTGGCACAAAAATAGCCCTTCTTGTGTGCTCCCTCCCTCCTGTAGCGCTCAGACCTATCCCTGCACAAACATGGCACCTATAAGGCAGCTTGAGCAAATCAAACCGGCTGGTAAACTCATCTACTAGAATTTTTCACATTCTGTAACAGTAAGCTCAGAGCATACAGACTTATGCCATGTCAGTGTAGGAGCAGACCGCCACACACATCCACATCCTCGCACCACTGTACTCAGTGTAACCGGCATGTCAGTTACCTAACATCAACATGTATTACCTTTAATTTGCGATGGTAATTCAGTGATGTGGCAATTCATCCACCAGTCACAACCATCCCACAACCAAGCCAGGGAATCAAACCATAGCTCCTGTCATGGTCTATGTTCCGTGATGCTCATGCAGAGGTACTACAGCTAGGCTTTAATGAGTATGGGTTCTTGTAGGATGAAAGTGGAGATGCCTCTGACTATGAAACAGTCTCTGACACAACCATCAATACATTTTGATGGTCAGCATCTCCATTAAAGAGGATGAGGCAGGTTTCACTGGCTGCTGAGTAAAATCCTTTCAAACCACACTAATAGGATTTCTCTCATGTACAAGAAATAAACAACAAAACATATTCCCTAGGTATGGTTTAAGGACCAAATCCCAATAATCACATCTTGTGGCATCATCTGGGCTAACATTTATTGTGGTCTAACTAACTAAAGTGCTTTAACCCTTGACTTCTGAATGGTTTACTTACAAGCGAGCATAAAAATCACAAAATTCCTTGTAGACTTTGACATCGCTTTTCCGTCTCTGGGACTTGGACACCGGGACTTCAGCCTCTCCCCCGTCACCACCCTGAAATCTCTGGTGGTAACCGTTCATCTCCTCATGAGAAACATGGTCCGGGGCTTCTCTGTCCTCAGGTATTGATGGCGGCAGGGCATGGCCATTCACCTCCATACTCATCTACAACTGTCTGAATTAACAACAAAAAAAAACAAAGTCCACCTAACACCTGTAGTAAAGTCAAAAACTAAAACACTCAACAATAGATACCCTCTGTGTTTGGTCAATGTACGTTTCCGGTAACGGGAACGACAATCCAGCGAGCAGTGGGAGCTGTAATCCACATAGCAAGAAGGAGACCGAAACACTGATCGGAGTGCTATGAGAGTACTCTCTCTCTCTCTCCCTCTCTCTAGCTCACACACACACACACACACACACACACTCCCTCTTCCTCTCATTCCCACATCAACCCTTTCTCTTTTTTCTCTCTCTCGTTCACACACACACACACACACACACACACACACACACACACACATCTCCTCAGTCTCCCCTCCTGTCACACTCGCTATCTATTCTTGGGCAGGTTGCTGAAATTTAAGTCCACACTGACGCCTGTCCAGACAGAGGTCACTATGCCATCACACACACACACACACACACACACACACACACACACACACGCTGTATTTCAAAAATGTTTTTGCATCCCATCAAATATGGCCAATATCTACCCATACTATCAATCTGCTTTTGTTTGTGTGTGTGTGTGTGTGTTAAACAGCTGGACCTCTCAGCTTTCTGGGAGATGTAACAACGTGGCTCCAACTCAGTATTGCGCAAAGTGGGAATGTTGCACAGGAAAGCAGAGAAGCTAACGTAGTAACATGCCAGTATGACATGAATAGAACCATTACTGTTGATTCACTCACTGTATAAACACAGTGGAGCAAGAAATCAAATGACAGTATTTTAGACAAACACATTGGGCTGAAATTGGAGCCAGATATTATCTAATCAGTGTCACCCGTCTGATATGAAGGACGCAATGCCGCTGGTTGAGTTACATTTAGCTATAACAGATCAATGCTACCCTGGTTGGGATCTGAATGTGGACCGATTCAAGTGCTTACATTATATGGTATAACAAGGGCCACATTTGGCTTTGATCGCCAGTGTGCACATGCTGGCTAGCTGAACTGGAGTCTTTGCTCGCCCTCACCATTTTCAAACCTACTGGTAAACCATGCCATGTGATTGTTTATGGACTGCAGAACATAATGGAAACATGTGCATGTGTCTTCTCCAAGTGAGTCTACAAAAAGGCTTGAACATTAAGTTTAAAACATCTGAAGCCATCTAGAGCTACAATTATAAAATATGTTAATCTTCCTTCAAAATCCCATATCGGTTTATGCCTTGGCATTCCTTTAAACCCATGAATCTGTCTCCTCTGGGAAAATGATAGCTCGACTTTATGTGGTTAAACTCTCAACTGGCACCTCAAATTAATGACCACTTCCGAAACCATCAAAACAACATAAAGCCTGATCTGGAAATACAAACATGTTTGATGATCCACTGGAGAACAGCTGCTGTGTTCATCCTGCAAAACTAAGAGATGTACAATAAATACACACATCTATACCTGTCCTAAACCTGTGTGTGTGTGTGTGTCCAGCTGAAACATGTCTCTGAGTCCTCAGTATATATTCAGTCATTCTACAAATAGACACCCAGAAGAGCCTCAATTCCAAACTAGGTGCTGGCAGCTGCTGTTTTGTGTCTGTGTATATGTGTGTGTGTGTGAGAGAGTTTGTATACATAGTAGGGGCCAACTCTAGCTTGTCTGATCAGGACGGCCAAACTGCGTTTTTCCCCCCCATTTAAATCCAGCTTTTATAAATAATGGGAGTGATTTGATTTGTTCTGCAGCATGTTTTGTAAATGCTACATTTTTAAAAAGACTGTCCTATAGACACAAGCAGTTGTGTATTGTTGTGTAGTGTATTCAGTACAGCGTGACACTCGCTCAACTTTATACACTTTTCAACTTTTCAGTCTCTAAGGGACTGTCTGGGTTTTGAAATGAATGACATAATGAGCCAAACATTTCACCAGGCACAATCTAAAGCTTTAGGAGCCTTCCCAAAACAGAACAATGACTGCAGAAAAGTCACCTGTCCTGGGCTGGGGCTATGTTGGGAATCTCATCCACTGGGAACCAGTGCTGAGTGACTGGGGTACAATAGACAGAGGGTGGGTGCTTTACAGGAAACACGTAATCTTTCCTCCTGACATTGCCATGTTCCACCCTAAAACAAGAGCTTGGGAACTATTCAGCTGCCTGGTGTTCAGATTAACATTGGGCATTGTTCATTCGACTGAGGCAAAATTGAACGTTGAACATTATTAAACAGAATACAAATTTAGAGTCAAAATGAGGTTGAGGTTAAAAATGGTACAATTTACTGACAAGTAATTAGACCAGTTTTCAACAGGGATAGAACAAAAAAGTCCAACACAGCTTTTCCTTTCTTTCTCACTCACTGAAACACACACATAAACAAATAGCAGAGACACTGTAATAAATTAAAGTTGCATAACATTTAAAGCTCCTTCCAGTGAAATTTACAAGAAGACAAAACACTCTCTTGCATCTGCGCAGTGAACACTGTTGTGAAAGTACTTTCCAGTTTGTAGTGTTTGTAGTGTGTGCTGAACACCACAGTGTCAACCACCAACCACGGTAACAAGAGAGTGGAATATCGCTTATAATATAAATAGTATTAATAAAATAATGGGGTTCAAGCTGTTTTTCTGAGAGGATTTTTGTCTTTTCATTTCATTACAATTTAGACTAGAGACTTCTCCTTTGTTCATTACTCATACATGGCTGTTCAGTCAGAGGCCACACAAAAATCATGATCTTTTCAAGATGTTCTCTACAGTGTATTAAAGACAGGAGAGGGCCCTTTTTCACTTGTGTGTTGAATATGGCTGACGCAAGTCACACTAGACAAGAAAAGTCTTTCTGTCATGGACTCCTGAGGCCTCTGAGACACAGAATGGATTGTGTAGTGTTTTTATAAACTACATCACTTCTACTAACAGTCAGAATAAGGAATAATCAGATATTTTAGCAAAGAGAGCCATGGTTTTTCAGTGCCTGAGAGAGAGAGACAGAGAGAAAGAGAGAGAGGGAGGGAATGTGAGCGGCGATATGAATGTCAACCTGAGCTTAAAAATGGCTACAGCAACTGTCAGCAGTGGACACGGTGTCTCTGGTGTTTTCCCTCTGCAGGATAGGATTTTAAAACTTCCCTATGGTCATTAAGGGTCACAGGTCAGATCATCCTTGGAAAATGAGGAAGGAAATTTACTGTTCCAATGACCTAACCTCTGTTGCTATCACAGAGGTATAGCCATTTATTTGTGCATATAATCTACAGCAGTGATTTTCAACAGTCCATGTGCGACACGGTCAGAAACATTTAACCCAAGAACACACTGACAAGCATTTGTCTATTACATTTTCCATCTGCAAAGACCCCCAGACAGATTTTGCAAATTCTAAAACGAAGGACCATGTAGGCTAAAAAGGACATGGAACTTTTACAGCTTTGACACTAAAGACATGTATAAATATAGCAGTTAATTCCATGAAAGAAAAGAGAAGCTACAACTCCTAAACCCCCACCGATAATCAGACAATGATGTGTTTAAAGTGCACCACAGTTACAGAGGACAAGCCTCCATTCACTATCCTGGAGGAGTCTGTTTTCAGTTGGTGCTTAATTTGGATTAACTTTGTTTTTCTTAGTTTCCCACTTAAACCTCAACTAATGACATATTTTTCTTGTGACCATCTAATAAAGGATGGATTAGGCTATAAAATATGCAGGATTCCCATTTATAAATGATTCAGGCAAGGAAACAAAAGAAATATGTTTTGCAGTGGTTGGGCATATCTGCCTGAAAAATGAAAAGTATATTATGCAACAATTTTGTTTGTTGAGTGTGTGTTAAGGTTGGAGTCCCAAGAAACAACCCTGACTCTCAGCCGGTGCGAGACGAGCAGATTCAGGCCAAAGAAACAGATCAAACACACCCTGTTCATACACCCACACTCCCGCTCATACTCTGTGTCAGCAGCAACCATGGAAACACAGGCATGAAGGTTGCTTGGGTACAGCATATTTCCTTTGGCAGGGCATAGAGCGTTTCCACACTAACGCGCGCACACACACACACACACACACACACACACACACACACACACACACACACACACACACACACAATGACACACACTGATCCAGTGACTGTGCAAACATAATTCATGATTAACATTTCCTTTGTTTTTGTTCCTGACGCCCATTTTGACCTGAACTATCAAGGGCCCAGTCCAACTGAACTCTACAAGACAGCCAGGAACACATCCAGCCCAAAGGATTACAGTAACACGGAGGACTTTCTCAATACTGTAACGCAGCTTTTATCTTACAAATGTAATTGGTAAAAAAGGGGTTTAACAGGTTCACTTACAGGCTCATTTAAAACCCCGAATTAGGGCTGAGCAATAAAAAAATTATTCAAATTATCGCGATATAATTTTTCTCAATAACAATAGAACAAATGTTTAATCAATGTTCAATAAATGTTTGATTTAATTCATTTGAATTTGAAAAAATCAGCACTTAATTTTTCTATTAAGATATTTAATTTGTTAAGAAAAAGGAAATGGAAAAAGGCTTTACTTTATTTTACTCAAGCATATTTGTTGAAAAAATATTTTATCAGAATTGTTTTGAATGTTCTACCTCATATTTGTGAAGTGATCCACTGTTTGGCATCAACTGTCTGTCATGTGACCATAAAGAATAGTTTATAGGCACATTTAACCATCTGGTTTCTTCTTCTTTTACTCAGGAGCAAAAATCTGCTTTAAAACTCGAAAGAAATAATGATTTGACATTTACCATGATAATTATTGATATCGAATGATAATTTTTTATTGTGAGATCATTTTCGCCCAGCCCTACCCTCAATGTCCAACTACTATTTTGTCACATTTTGTATATGAAGGACATGTTGAATGTGACTGCTTTCACATATATAAAACTTAAAATCAGCTGTGCCACTTAATGATAATCGTGCTTGGTGTAAGTGTGTAAGAAAACAGATGCTTTGTGAAACTAGTTAATTTTTATTTCATACCACACACACTTGTAGAAAGCACCAGTTAAATCTCGATAGCACTTAGCTGCACCTCTGTGAATACACTTTTTAGGGAAAGCACAAAAAAAAGTCACATATGGCAATGGACTGTATCA